TCATGAAAAAGATGAAAGAGGAAATATCAGATACAGTGATAAGCATGGTGCACATAGTTGTAAAAATATTATCAATACTGAACCCCAAAAGGAAATAATTCGTAACCATATTAAATCATTTCCTACTATTCCCTCACATTATTGTAGGGCAAATTCCAAGAGACAGTATTTAGAGCCCGGGCTCACTGTACAAAAAATGTACAATCTATATGTTGATAACTGCAATAGAGATGAAATAAAACCCTTAAAATTATATGTTTATCGAGATATTTTTAATTTGGAATTTAACATTGGATCCCATGTCCCGAAAAAAGACAAGTGTGACACGTGTGAAAAATACAAAATATTAACCTCCCAACCAAACGTTAATGAAATTAACGCTCAAACATTACATGATCATTTGAACTTAAAGCAAGAAACAAAAATAGAAAGGGACACGGATAGAAACAGAAAAGATAATTCTGTAGTTGTGTGCTTTGATATGCAAAATGTCATGACGTGTCCGCGAGCTTCAGTTTCAAATTTCTTTTATAAAAGAAAGCTTTCGGTTTTTAATTTAACAGCACATTGTTCTTATAACAAAGTGGCTTATAATGCAATATGGACAGATAATATGATGGGTAGGGGGGCTAATGAAATTGCAAGTGCTTTGTGTGTTATATTACAAAAAGCGTGCGAAGATATTCCAAATATTAATCATCTGATTTTGTGGTCTGACGCGTGTGTTCCTCAAAACAAAAATTCCATAATGGTAACAGCACTGACAAAATTTGTCGAGAGACATTCAGGTCTCATCATTGAACATAAATTTGGAACACCTGGACATTCTTCTACACAAGAAGTAGACAATGTTCACAGTCACATTGAAAAAGCACTAGGAGTAGCCGAAATCTATAGCCCAATATCCCTTGTCAGAGACTTACTTAAAGTTCGACCAAAACACATGAAAGTTATACAAATGAAAAAATCTCAATTCTTTGATTTCCAAAAGGTTTCACAACGATTTAAGTTTAATATTCCATTTTGTAAACTAAATTATTTGAGAATTGATTCTTCCCGACATATGCAGTGTGATTACAAATTTTGTTTTTCTGAAGAATTGAAAACCCATACTATTTCTAGAAAAAAGAGCACCCGGTCAGATGGAAAATGTAAAACCTTTCCGAATCCCTCGGTATTGGAAAAAAACATGACATACTCGAAAGAAAAAATCAACGATTTGAAAAGTATGATGCCATTTATGCCACTTTCTGACTGTGATTACTACAGACATACTCTTGGCATAGACGCTAATAATTAATATGAAATATATTACACGATAAAGCCTTTATTTAAGTGTCAAAAGCATCAAAAAGGTAAAACAGTCAAATTCCCTCCGATTATATTGATTTTTATTGATTGTTACATATTAAAATTACTGGAATATCGTCGGTCGACATATTATCAAAATTTGGTTTCCATATATACAATGGTCAGCTTTTATTACAACATATAAGAAAATGTCTTCAAATATTATTCATTTTATTTTAATTCCATTTTTTTTATTAATTAATCGATCTATGTTTAAAGCTAGGAAATGTGGGATATAGAACGGGTGCCAATATGAGATTGTCTTCTGCTACTAATTCCATATCGTTCTATATCCCAATTCCTCCATTGTCCGTTTTTGTAAAACAAAAATATGAGAAATTTGTAAACATTTTGTCAAAATGAGTTTTATTAAAGTAAAAATAAATGAATGATTTTTCACAACATGTTAATTTTGATATATTCCTTCACTTAATATTGCATTTATATGGTTGTCAAAGTTTCAAATTTGATTTTCTCAAAAACAACGAGAACGGAGATAGAACATTATAGACCTGAGGTGACGATATCCTAACAGCTATGTCAGGGATCGGGTAAACAAGTAGAGTAGGCTAAATATCTTTTAGACTTTAATATCCTATGTACAGCATGAATCATGACTAAATTTATTTTTATTTTACAGAAACATGAGATTGAACCAGGCACTGTATTATTATTGTTTTTTGTAATTACCTCAACCAGCGTAAAGCGTGACTAGAAATTGAAAGTCGTGTATCTCTAAGTGGCCTTAAATATTTTTCCTGTGATGACATTTATCTTTTCTTATTAATTTCATTATAAATACGTCGATTTGTTGATTTAAGTATGTGATAAAGATGTTGAAATAGAATTTTATTATTATTATTATTATCACCCACTTCAACTTGGCTGCCACTTATGTTGAAGCTCGGTTAGCGAGAAAGTCTTAAAGGGACAGATTCGCCATTTACGGGCGTTGATTTGGGTCTTGAATATATGTAAATAGGCCTAGTCTCAAGAAGTACAGGAAATGTACGGAATTCGCATAATTCCTTCAAAAATACACTAAAGTAGGAATCTCGCTTTCTATAGCTATATTTGTCTTTTCTGTATTATGTCCAGTCTCAAAGTCTGTTTAGCTTTCAAACGCGGGTAATTCTGTGGACACTACTAGGCCTACTGATTAGCGTATATAACTTATTAATTCCTGTTTCTGAGACTGAGAACGATTGGTCAAACTGATGGCGAATCTGTCCCTTCAATTCAGGAAAGCATTCAAAGTGCCATTTAAAAGGGAAGTCGGCATTTTCGGGGATAAGAAGGACAAAAACGCACGAAAATCGGTACTTCGATGAAAGTATTGATATAAGGGCCGAGGAACGGGGAAAAGAGATAGCGGACAAGAAGGATAGAACAGTGCAGAAGATAACTAGTTTTAGAGAAATGAAATGAAATGAATGGAGTTTTACGTCCTACCCTTCTACACCTTGTGGGCTAATGAAGTCGGAACTAGTTTTAGAGGAGAAATGAAACGAAATGAAGATTAACTCTTCCGTACCTTTGGCTAACGATGACGCCATGCGGAGTGCATTGTGAGAAATTTTGACATTAGCTTACCTTTTTCGATTACCAACTATCGAGGGATCTGCACATCCTGTAGATTGGACCTCGGTTTATTGTCGCAACTAAATGTCGTCAACTAAATGCTTTTTCCATGTCAGCTGACAGTCACTGACAGGAGAAGAACGGAGTTATAGATAAGAATCAGAAGAATTTATTTTAGGTATTATAGGGACTAGCAGAGAGTGTCCAGTAGGTTTTCTATTATATTGAGAGGTACAGCTCACTGCATGTACCTCCGTGCTCTGCTTCGAACAAAGTAGCCTACTTCGAATACTTATCAAGGCTCACCAATAATAATCCGACTTGATATAAAACGTTAGCCTACTAATTAAATAGAGAATATCCTTTCCAATTCACACTTTTCCTATTGAAGATTCCAGATAGATTGCACCAATGAAGTCTAAAATTAAGCCTAAATAATATTAGGCTAGCCTAATAATAAATAATCATAATGTAAAATAAGATACAACGAATGCAGTTTATTCTGTCTTAATGGTTTGAATAGGTTTAGAGTAGGCCTAGTTTAGACGATCGAGTGTTGCCTGATATCAGGCCTAGGCGTACTTGATTGGACAAATATTCTCTTGAAATAATATAATATGATTTGATTTTCATTTACAGATTGTCGATATATAGCCTAATTTGAATTTGGCTGATAAGATATTGGATCACCAAAAGGTAATTTTGAAACGCAAAATACAATGCGATACTGCTTAAACAGTGGCGGTGTCAGCCTCTGAAGGCCAAGGTTGAGATTCAACAGCTTCCGATAAAGATAATACGCACCTGAGGAGACTGTTCTTCCCCACGAAAATTTGTGAAAATTAGAATTGATTTGGTGTATTCTTACATATTTGGGGCGAAGACGTGTAAAATTGATAGCCAGCTTATTAATTTGTTAGATTTGTGAGGTGACAAATCATTTTGATAACAGACTTGTTCTACTAGTTAGCCAATACATACAGTTCTGTGATAAGATTTCTTCGGACTACGCTGAACACAACCGGAAGTTGCCAACTAAAGGGGCCGCTTAACTTATTTTATTTGGTTTAAGCGATTTAAAAACTCTACTTTTGGTTTGTTGATATTTTTGTTGTCAGGAGAAAAAACTTATAAGAGAATGAAATATATCAATTATCGAGCACTCTCTAGAATCTTGCAAAACTTGAGAATTAAGTATGAATCACAGATGTCAACAAGTAAATGGAGTGTGAGGACATCACAAGAAACTTCACCAAGCTACCCACTCGACTCTGGTTTGCGACATTACAGCAAGACATCAATAACAAGGTATTCATCCAAGTATCTAAATATAAAACTAATTTGCCTATGAAGGTGGTAGAATTTCTGATATGCATAGCACTGTAGAAAGCTCAAATTGAGCCTATCATCTGTGAAGAATAATACATAGTCTAATTTTATGATGTGCTACCAAGTAATTCAATTTTTTTGGTGTATCAAATCCGTTACAGATTCTTTCGTGCAATGAATATTAGCTTTCAAATTCTCAAAGCAAAATAGGTATGCCTCAACAAAAATCGTGTGACAATTATTTATTGTTTCTTGTTTATACTAAATGTATGTCATTTGATCATCAGTTGGTCATCCATTCTAAATGAAAAGTTATTTCTCCAGATGCATCCAAAACAATGAGCCAAAAGCAGAAAGACCCAGAGCTCAAACAACAATAGATCAGGAAGAAATTGACAGATTTTCAGCTTTAGCTCAACTATGGTGGGATGAAAGTGGTGAATTCGAAGCCCTTCATACTATGAACGAACTGAGAGTGCCCTTGATAACTGACTCTTTAATTGAACAGAATACAAAAGCCTCAGGAAAGAAAGATGTGAAAATTGACCAACCATTGGAAGGTTTTAAGATATTAGATGTTGGTAGTGGTGGTGGAATTCTTACAGAGGTAAAATTATTTAACAAATATCAAATTTCTAGTAAAAATGAATTAAGTCACCAATTTGTTGATTGGTCCGAATTCTTAGTGGGTTTCAAAAGATTTTTTGTTACCTTCAACGTTTCAAGTTATAAAAATTTTTAATGCTGAACGTGTTAATGACATAATTGTTGTTTTTTTTCGTTATTTATTTATTGAATGCATCTAATTACAAAATAACAACCTGTCAATCTTAACAAAATAACAACTTGTCAATCTTAACTGGGTGCATCATGCCCCTGCTAAGCCCCAACCTTTCGTATGGAGTCACTTTTGAGAATTCCCCTGACCGCTTTCTTAAATATAATACAAGTTTGACTGTATATTTAATTTGTGTTTATTGGCAGCCTCTAGGAAGATTGGGAGCCTTTGTTATTGGTGTTGATGCTTCAGAAGAAAATATTAAAATAGCACAAGCTCATGTCATGCATGATGAAAAGTTAGCAAGGAATATCAAATATATTTGTGCCACTGTAGAGGATATGGTGGAAACAGAAGAGAGATCATTTGATGCAGTTATTGCTTCTGAAGTAGTAGAACATGTGGCAGATAGAGATATGTTTCTGAAAGCTTGTTGTAAACTGGTTAAGGTAACAGTCTGATAAAAATAGATGTTTTCTATTCATACTTTTTCAGTGGGTTACAGCACTTGCCATCCATAAACTGAGGAAATATTTATGCATTACATATTCTTAGTCATTTAACTATTTCATCAATCAAATGCTTTATTCATCAAGGCTTTATCTATCACTTTGGTGGAATTATAATCAATGTACTGTTTAACAATATCTCGTTTTGTCAGTCCATTTTATCATACCACCAACAACAAATTTTATCCATTATTTTTTTTTATTATTGTAGCCAGGTGGATCTCTATTTTTAACAACATTAAATAAAACAAGAATGTCTTATTTAGCTGTTGTAGCATCAGAAAGGGTATTAAATCTTGTTGCTAGAGGTACACATGATTGGAATAAATTTGTTTCTCCAGAAGAAGTACAGTATACTTTAACTCAAAGTAAGAAATCTTAAAAATTTCGGCTTTATAATGTAAATTGATGGAACATTACACATAGCTTCGAACAGGATTGGGATGATAGGACTTCATTTCCATTCTTCCACTAGCAAAAACTTTGCTGTGTTATTCCAGCACTATGAAGATTATTTATGATTTAAAATGTCACAAAATTACAAATTGATTAAATTGTAAACCATGAAGGTACTTTGTTAAGTTAATTTGCTGTCAGACTGTGCTTAAATCCTTATTGAAAATATAGAAATAAACAGCGTATGTGGACATGGACATAATGATTTATAGAAATGTTTGAAAAAAGCTATTAACAATTATTTAAACAATGAATATTAATCACTTGTTTTTGCAGATGGATTATCAACACGTTTGGTACATGGTATGATGTATAATCCATTAAGCAAAAGATGGAGGTGGATTAAAGATACAAGTATTAATTATGCTATACATGCTGTTTGTACAGATGAAGCCTTACAGTTAAATAAAGTAACTGTGGAATAAGTCATCTCATGATCAGTGGCTTTTGACGTTTAATTAAATGTTCTTGACAAGAAGAACATGGAAAATTAAGGAAATTGTGGAGATTTCCCCTTCAGAACTTGGTTTAAAACATAAAGTATTGAAAGTATTGTTGCAGAAAATTGGTTGAAGTGGTTTAAAATGTACACACCAGATCAAGGGTGTCCTAAAGGAAAGTTCTTCTTCATTTGTTCTAAGTAAAAATATTACTAACTAGATCAAGATATCTGAATAAAGAGAACACAAAATAATAACAATAAACTTTTTATTTCAAAATTTTGTGTATAATTTAGTAAAGAATAATGAGGTATTACATTTTGTAAAATATTGAGTTTTTCTTCTCTAGATATTCTTACTGTTGTGTGACTTAAAAGTCATTAGATATGCAAATTCAAACAAAATATATTCTGAAACAGCAGACATCAATGAATAATGATTGATTTCAGACCAAATGGAAATAGGAAATTTCATTACAAAGATTCGACTTAACAGATTATATCTAAGAACTTTAAAAATTTCGAAACATTCCAAACCGATGCGTGAATGAATACTAAATACAATTTTCCCATACCTTTAACATATCATATATATCCTGAGAATTCCATGACAACTTGTATTCTGAGAAAAAAACTCAAGAAATAGCTGACAATCTTGTCATTCTGACACAATTGTCTCTTGTTTTTCAACTACAGCAATAAATAATACGATTGATTTATATGAAAAGAAAAAAGAAACAAAGAATTTAGTGTTTCTAAAAATATTAACTCTAGGTCTGGTAGATTAGTTGTTTGTTATAAATAGCTAATAAAGTAAGAAGAATGAAGTAACAGAACCACTATTAAATGTTCACTTTACCATGTGCTTAAAAACACAAATAACATACATTTAAACAATATAAATTCATTTTTGGGTTGTTGCAAACCTTTTTATATATATTAATCTTATTATAGATTTTACAGAATGGAGTCAAATCTACTTTTTACATGTGACAAATTCAAATTTTATCTTGATAATAAACTGCAGAATTCATACACAAACAACTATGTAGAAATAACAAACATGCGTTAAGTAATTTGATTTTTCTAAATTTTTATTATTTTTTATGTTATTTTATAAATAAGTAAAGAAAACTAAACAATATATTTAAAAAATAAATAAATAAAATTTGAGACAGTTAATCTATAAGACTAGTATAAGGTTATAAATAAATAAATTAATACAAAAATACCACACAACTTCTCTAGAATCTTATTTTACTTGCAAATGAAAGAAAATGGCCAGCAAAGACATTTCTTCTGAAATATTTAACAAGAAATAAAATAAAATTTAGGTCATTTCTAACAAATATATAAATAACATCTAGGCATAATCAGTTGTTGCTTGTATTGCCAATATAACCATTTATTTCTTAAAATTAGCTTAGTAAACGTTGCTTGTATCCCTATCATTTTATGTATTATAAAATTCTTTTGAGTTTATAAAATACAAAATAAAAAAAAATCTTTATAGCATAAATATCCTTATTAAGTTTTTATTATGCTATTAACCAGCACCAACCACCCCTCTCCAATGCATGATCACATTAAAATAGTTAAAATTAAAATACAGCATTCAATACACATCCATTAATAATCCCAATCTCCCACTTGAATTTAAAACCTAATTGTCCCTTCCTTTCAATTTCAAAATTGTTTATGGCACAAATATATTGCTTACTAGTTCAAAAGTCTGATTTATGGCTTCTATGGGTTCATTTTAGATAATTGTTGTTAAAAGAAATGTCTAGGAGAGAGACCACCAAACATTGATAATGGCATTTCTTGTTGTAAATGAGTCATTGTAACTTTGCCTATTTCATCATCATTATAATCATCTTCCTTAAATTTGTTACTTTTACGCAAAACAACATGAACATTGGATAAACTGGGATAAACTGGTTCCTTTGGCACCTGAGGGTTCTGATTTAAACACCCAAAATATTTATCTTGATGAGCAGTAGGGGGAGGATTGGTGGTATTTTTTAATTTAGTCTCTGATAAAGATATATTGTGTGGAGATGTTAACTTTGGTGATGTTGGGCGAGATTGAACAGATTTATCTGATCGAGCTGAAGAACACCGCAAGTTTTTCATTCGCCACGTTTGAATGGTATCTGTAGAAACTGTTAATGGAATGAATTTCTGTGTTGTTTTATATTTCGTCACTGATTCTATTTCAATAGGTGAATTCCTACCTGTCTCACTAGATTCTTTGATTGACTGAATCGGGGGAGAAGTAACTGATATACTCTCTTTCTTATTTTGAATAGTAGGTTGAATGATAGTATCTGTTTCTGAAGTCACTATATCAGATGATAAAGTACTAGTAAAATTAAGTAGAATATTACTATCACTAGGACTAGAATCACTAGATTCACTTGCTGATTTCCGTGCTCTTGACTTTGACGAGTGTGATTTTCTTTTTTTCCTCACCTTATGTATTCGGGTACTTTCTATATCACCAACTTTGTTTCTACGCTGATGCAAACGTGCTAAATAAGTTAAAGATGGTTGATGCTTGGGATGTTCTAAATGTAAACCATTTAACACTGCCATGTGTCGTAGTTTCTTCTTGTATTTTTCAGGATTTTTCATGAAAGCTGGAAGTTTAATACAGTCTTTCCGTGCTACCCGTTTTATCCGATTAATCTCATCAATACATATTTTACCCGACATCAATACAGTAAAATCTATATCTTCAATATTACGTAGAATTTTTAATGCTCCTGAAAAATGAATGCAATGCTAACATAATACAAATTGTATTTTGTAGCTTCTCATGGTGACAAATAGAAGCTTACTTTATTGATCTAAACTATTCTGAAGTTTATATTGCATGGAAAAACATTTCAAGTTGTCATCAATACAACACCAATACAGATATACAACTACTCTGGCAGATATAAAACATTAACTCTGATTAAAATGTAAATAATAACACATTACTATAAACTGAGACCTATTGACTGATGTATAACATAAATTATCATACCTTCGAAATAACACTGATCTTTGCCATAACCACCTAAATCATTAGGATCAGCTAATCCCCGCTTTACTCTCATAACATGTTTCCACCTCTGTTCTCTATTGGTAACAAATTGAGCTAGATGATCAAATAACTGTTTAAAATTCATTTCTGTTGATTTACATGCTGTATCTATATTAAAATAAAAACATGTAGGTAAAGCCATTATTACAGAGCAACTATTCAAAACAAGAGCTGGTTAAAGGAACTAAACTGATATGAAGCAATAACATGTATTGTTTTAAATCTAATCTTAATTTTGGCAAAATTGATCAAATTGTGTCTGAAATGGCGAATTCAAGATATATATCATATATAGTAAACAAAACAATATATAAATATGAAAAAATACTTCTTTACTGGTGACTGCATTATTCCTCGTTATTTCAGAAATAGAAGATCACCTTATCAATTATCATAAATATTCATAAATTTATCTATAAACAATAATATCACTGACAGTATTAGCTGAATAAATTATAAACTAACAAAAAGTAACGAAACTTTGTACTGTTATGTTATGTTATGTACTCTTACTTACAATATACTAAAGCAGATAGCCAAAGGTATTTAGCTTTTGAGCCTAAGATACCATGAATTGTAGCCAAGCCTTCTTCATAGCATAGAGAATCAAATGATCCCATGCTGCGTAAACCAAACTTTTTTCTATCAGAATACCACGGCTGTAACCCATCATTAAACATGCGAAACTTGAACTAGTTAAGGTTTTTATTTTAATTTAAAGCTACCAAAAACAAATCAGGATTTTCCTGCCCATAGTCATGATGGAGAAAAAAAGACGGCATCCAAGTCAAACAAAATATTGTTCTGAGTTGTAATCATTATCAAATATGGCATCTCAAATTCACATCAGCCGAGTCAACGTTTACAAAAAATCTGATAGATATTTCAAACAACACACAAAATGATATCAAAGGATACAAAATGAGTTCCTATTTCATGATCTAACAGACACTCTAAACCATGTTCTCTTATGTAAGGATTTTCATCTGAATTGTTTAACCATAGAGTATATCTTCTAGCTTCTGGTTTATTTGTTTTTACAGTTGGACCTGTCCACATCATTTTAGCACTGAAATATAAGCTTACATAACAGAAATGTGACCCACAAAAAAAAAAACAGAACCCTTAAATCAAATCCTGCAAGGTTGAGCAAATTTTGTCTAGTGTATGATTATTCTTTATTGTTTCATGTATCTGGGTCATGCTCTTTCTAACTTCAATTGTGTCACTGAGGTTATTCAGAGCCTATTATGACAGGACATGACTTTTGTGCAGTGAGTCCAAGATGTTTGAAATCTAATAGAATGATATCACCAGACCAGAAGTTAAGTCAAAAAAATTTCAAAAATTATGCTTAAATTTACTTCATAGGATTTATTAAAAAACTTCATTGTTTCTTTTTTTTCTATTGGAATATTGTCCTAAGGTTAGCCAAATTATTTCAGAACAATTTATTCGGTAAGTAAATGTCGATCCTTTTAATTGTCCATATTTGCAAATTTTTGGAATCATAAATAAACCTTACCTACATCCCAAGTTTTTGCACCAGATAACTGTTAGAGATTCATTTAATAAATTCTCTTCTAAATATTTAGTAAGAATGACCTGAGCTTCTTCTTGATTTATACGTTTACCATAACATTCCAGTAAAAAATTATCACCATTGCCGTATTTCTCTTTCACAAGTTTTAAAATATGTTCAGCTTCGCCCAAATATTCAAATCTTATTTGACCTTTGACCGATGATGTGAGTTCTTGAAGATGTGCTGAATCTGTATTATGGACAAAATTTGGTGTGTGGCCATGTTTCAGAAACTTTTCTTTCTGTTCTTGAAGATTCAATGGAATGGTTGTAGGTATGTTCCTGACAGAATGTTGGTCTATTTTAATGGTTTTTACACTGGAGACATATAATTTACTTTTTGACTTTTTTGTCATGCTATGTATTTGGTTGGAAGTAGACTAATTTTGATCACAATGTTTTTGGACAAATAATTAATATGTAACTAGTTGTTTCATTGGTCTGTATAAGATCGAGATTGTTATTTATTTACTTTCTTTATCCTACAAAATAATAAGTCTCATTTGAAGTAAATAACTAAAATGGGTTGGAACTGGAACAGTGTCAGTGAAGTTGAGTGGAACTGGAACTGGAAATGGCAAATTGAAGTTACCGACCCTTGGCCTTGTAGTCTGTGTTTCTATGCATCAGAAGACATTCGAAAGAGAATAATATGAATCTTTATAAAGATAAACTTATTATACATCATCAGTGCAATTATTTTTCATTGTGATAAAAATTAATACTATTTAATTCACTCTAAAAATAGTGTAATAAGTAAACCTTTTCTAAATGGGCGCCATGTTGTATCACTTCCGTTTCTAGGGGAAATTGGGAATTTCCTTAACACGTGATTTGGATTTCTTATGCTATTTATAGCTTAGAGAGGATTTCGAGAGTCGTTTTGGATATTATGTTCATTTGGCAGAACGCTTTGATAGATTCCATCACACGAAGTTTCAATTAACTTACAAACAGCAGGTAGGGGAAAGAAGACTAAATAATCATAAATCTAAAGAAACAGTCACAATAGTCACATCATCCTTTCTAGGCAAGTTGCACTTATTCCATTCCATTCCGAACCACCATGATAAATTAAGTAACATTTTATCAACCATGGCATGAGACCCAGCAGAGATGGGTGGCCAGGAGCATAATGACAGTAATGAGATAATGACTGTGATATCTTGCTTCATTTGTAATTATACCTTGTTTGTATTGTTTAACAAATTATTGATAGAATATCCATGTCAATATACTAATCAAACACACATTATTTTTTAATAATTTGTAATACAAGAAGATGGCAGACTCTGATGATGATGTTCCACAACTATCAGCTCAGACTTTGGCTATGTTACAAGAATTTTATACAGAACAAGAAGAAATAGACAAAAAACTTGAAGAAGCTCAACAAGGGAATATAGATAACTTTACACCACAAGAAGATTGGGTAAGTTAAAGATGTTCTTGTAGATATCAATTTACAAATTTTGCTGAAAAAAATGAGAGAATTCAAACCAAATTCAAAATCGATTTCAACAGTTATTTAAAGCTATATCGCTCTACAGTTGATGTATTGAGCACTATTTTATCAGTGAGAATTTTTGGTTATCTCAAGCATCGACATAATTTTGAAAAAAAATGAACTCAAATAATTAAGACTTTTTGTGTTTTGTTCATATTATTGACATCTATGGTCAGAGTCAGGTTAAATATAAATGGAATAATCAAAATGATGATAAAAACTTCAGATATCATCTATTTCAGCAATTAAGTCAGTTTTGGTATAATGATAGTACAGCAACAAGACTAGCACAAGAAGTTATTCAAGCTGCTGGTATCAATGGCAAGTGAGTAAGCCAACTTTTTTTCTTCAGATTTTCTTTGAGTTCGCTTAGAACTTTAATATCAAGCATTAAATACATCTTAGTTCAGTCATTGCAAGTTAAAAGAGCTAGCTTACACTTTCCGAACGACCACTGAATGTCCTTCCTCCGGAATGGTTATACCTCAAAATTTTCCATATAGTTTTTTATTGGGGGAAATTTGCCAGCACAGTAGTGTACACAGTTAACCATGTGGAAATTGTCAATCTTAAAAATCTGTCTGTTTTTTATAGGATTGCATTTGTTAGTTCACCTACAGCATATAAAAAATTTCGAGAAATCAAGAGAGAAGATCTAAGTGCTAAGTGTTTGGAATTTGACAATAGATTTAAGGTCTATGGTGAAGACTTTATCTTTTATAACTATGAGGAACCATTGAATCTGCGTGTTGAGTTAAAAGGACAATTTGACATTGTGTTAGCCGATCCACCATTTCTCTCTGATGAATGTATAGTAAAAACAGCTCAAACAATTCGCTATTTAACTAAAAATAAAATAATTGTGTGTACAGGTAAGACTCCATGATATATGCAGAAATCTTGAATTTTTTTTTAAAAGCTTTACAATATCTTTGAAATTTGATGAAACTCTGTATGCCAGTTTAGTTGGTAGTTGGATGATGTTTTCATGCCTTAGAAATAGCTATGTAGACACACCCAGTCTCAGAGCACATGGTATAAGGTGTTCTGGAATTGTAAGCAAATACCTTTTCAATTGCCAAATTGACACAATAAATTAAAGTCTGAATTTTGCGGCTACTGATTTGGCTTATGGAGAGGGGTAATGCAGTGCAATGTGTGATGAGAAATTTTGAGAAAACAGCATTATTAGCTTACTCTATTTCGTTTCTCAATTTCAATAAAGTATTTGAACTTGGACTTATGCAGTTTACTATCATTATTTTTTATACGCCCAATTAGATATGTGGATGTTTATTGCTGTCACCCCTGTCCATCGGTCTGTTCACATTTATTGTGAGCACTATAGAGACAACAGTTTCTATTTGATTTTACTGAAATTTGGTGTGATGATTTACATACATGAGATCTTGGTCAAGTTCGAAATGCACTTTATTTCACAATTTTTGACTTAGTAAACACACATCAAAATTAGTTTGTGAACACAATAGAGACTGGAGTTTTCATCCAGTTATAATGAAATTTTGTGTGATCTGAATGACAATGGGCATTAGAACTTTGCCTGGCAAGCTATCTTCAAATATCATTTACAACAAATAAGAATTAAATAGTTCTCTAAGTCTACAAAAATATTTTTATTTACTTGTAGGTGCTGTAATGGAAGAAATGGTAGGAAAATTATTAGGATTGAAAAGACAAAAATTTAAACCACAACATGCAAATGGTCTTCAAAATGAATTTTGTTGTTTCACAAATTATAATTCAGATCTGCTAAATAAAGACTAAAATTTAAAGAATATAATTTGGAAATTTGGAAGGATCTAAATCATGATGGAAGTTATTTAAAGAATCATGCGTTACACTGTAGGCCTAAGGAGGAAGGGGTTAACCTTGCATCTTATACCTCTTAATACCTTATTGCATAGAAGACAACTACATGTATGTATTGTCAACTGCCCTTGCATTAATACCCATGAGCACAAGTCTTCTATCAATGAACAGTCTGTCATGAGTTTGAAGTGACTTATGCAAAAAGGAGACTAATTAAAGTATCCAAAACGTGGATTCATTTGTTGCCTAACTCACAATTGATGGCCTTACTCGGTAATGCTCTAAAAATAGTACACATAAGCTAATCAAAAAAGCTCATACTTCATTCCTCAAAATTGGCTCAATTCTAAACAAAGTAGAAATTGATTCTAGAACACCATATAGGGCCATTTCATACAAACAATCTTTAACTAATAATATCAATTTATTATTAAAATCATGATACAATCAATCATACTGGTCCTATGTATAGATATCACTGCTTAATTGGTAAGAACACCAGTCTGCTGGATAAATTGTTGGTTGTGCAGCAAGATGTTTTGTGAGGCGACACAAGTAAAATCAATCATATCAATATATACAAATTAAACAGTAATATAAAATAAAACTTCAATAATCACAAATTCTATGGTGGTAGTTCTTCATTACTACTAGATGGTTTATTATTATTTTCATCACTTAAGGCTTCATGGGGTGAGATATTTTGAGTTAACCATAAATTAGTATAAATACTATCAGGATTTGATAATAGACTATAATGAGTACCCCGTTCAACCACTGTGCCTTTATCTAAAACTAATATTTCATCAGCATCAACCACTGTTGACAGTCTATGTGCTATAACTATTGTTGTACGACCCTGTGTTATACATTTTAATGCTCTGAGTATGTTCTGAAATGGAGAAAAAATCAAAAAGAAATTTTTCATGGATATTTATATCAAATCATGTGTAGTACCAAAGGATCATGATGGTCTGAAAGTTGGTCCTTCTTGGGACTCTTATGGGAAATTTAAAGAGCTTTATCTACAAATGACTAACTCCTAGCAAGTCAACCATTCCATATCATAAATAATACAATATTGTTTTAAGGCATTTTAACATAAGAAACATACCTGTTCTGTAATAGTATCTAATGAAGATGTAGCTTCATCATAAATAATAATTTTAGGATCTTTTAATATAGCTCTAGCTATAGCTACTCTCTGTTTCTCACCACCTTAAAATAAATCATTTGATTATAAGAAGACAGGGTACAAACATTTGAATTTCGGACAACTTTTGATGACATACGATGTGAATGCTGTAAAAAGTATTTTGGTTGAAGAGAATTGAACAAAAGAGAAGAGTCTTTTGACTTTCTGCAAGTGAGAATGTCAATAACTGACTAAACATCTACAACACATTTCTGTTAATATAAAGGAATTTAAAATTTAGATCTAATCTTAGGATGACCAAAAAATTGAAACTTGGTTCAAATGTTTCAATAATCATATATATATAGAGATTCTATTTTTTAGCCATGGCACCAGACACTTATTGACCAAGTTTTAGACTTTCAATTTGATGTCCATTCTAAGCGGTAGTAATGGATAGCTGAAATAAAGCTCTATCAGACATAACATTTTAAGATGATTATATTGGAACACAAAACACTAATCTACATATAAAGTTATAAGAATCAACTTTATATACCTGATAGTTTAAGACCTCTTTCTCCAACCTGTGTATCATATTGTTTAGGAAATCTTTTATCAATAGTTTCATGTATTTCGGCCATTTTAGCTGCCTCAATCACTTCCTCTCTGGATTTGGTGAGATCACCATATTGTATATTATAATATATAGTATCATGTAGTAAAACACAATCCTACAAATAAAATAATTCCAAGGTTAAAACAGTTAAGGTACAGCCCTGCATTTACAGTTTTCAGAAAAAAGTTTTGTCTTTTCTTCTGATATATTGTGACATTGCATGACTCAATCAATACAAAACAACATTTTGCTAGCTTACCTCGGGCAAGATGTTTAAATTTGTAAAATTATTGGACTTGCATCTTAAAAGCAATGAGTAAAGCTTTATTTGGTTAAAACAAAAGTTCAAATCACCACATCAATCAGATTTCTGTATTGCAATTACTACTCTACAGATAAATATGTTAATTTACTTAAAACATTCTTACAAATCAGAAAAATGAATTAGAATTCCATTATGTCATTGCCCAACCCAACTTAAATTTGTTTAGAAATATACAATACCTGTGGTACTACACCTATGGCTTGACGTAAACTATTAATATCTACATTTAATATGTCTTGATTATTTATACATATATCGCCACTTAATGGATCAAAAAATCGAAATAATAAACGTACTAAGGTGGTCTTCCTACAAAACAAAATTTGGATTTGGGAATGTTATACTTATATCTAAAAAAACCTAGATGGTTCAAATATTAATAGCAAAATATCTGCAATTAACATATATAAATGGTACTGATTTACCTTAAAAAGACTTATCATTTCTACTTACAATTATTCCACTATTCTTGTATAATTTTGTGACAATGACAAATGCTTTTAAGAGGATTTCAAGAGCTTGTTTATGTCCTGTACAATATGTAAAGGAAAGAAAACCCATTCTTACCCAGATCCACTTCCACCAACGATAGCTACTTTTTTACCAGATGGTACAGAAAAACTTAAACCATCCAAAATTCTCTGACCAGGTACATATTCAAAATGAACATCATTAAATACAACATCAGATTCTTGAGAAGTTACATTGAGTAATGGAGCTTCTGGTAAATTCTGAAAAAACTTCATATTATGTTGAATAAGTTCTATTAAGTTTCCAAAATTCTAATGTAAGTTACAGACAGAATTTCTTATAATATTATGATGACTGCTTTTATTTCCACAGGCAATTGTGAAAGTGTTATCCAAACGTGCAAAAATGTATATGCTCCAATAGAGGCTGGTCAAATCAGGGTAGTTAACATATAGAAATAATATGTATAAATTCAGACGCCAAAAGAGAAAACACTTAAATGGCATTAATTGTATTGTATATAAAAGAGGTTTTACCTGAACTTTGGACTTTTGATTGAGAATATTAAACATGTTTCCCATATCAGTTATAGCTGTAGTTAGATCTCTATAAGATGATCCAAGAAAGTTTAATGGTACTGATAATTGAAACAATAAACCATTCACCATAACCAGATCTCCAATAGTCATTGTGCCTGAAAATAATAGAGTAGAACCCTTCTAAACCACATCTTCAGTTCAACAAAGTTCAGTTTTCCAGGAATTTTTGCTGATTCAGTAAAGGACAATAACACTTAATTGAGCACTTGTCAGAACAAGCATTCTCATTCAAGCAATTTAAGCACATTACCTGAAATAATCTCTTTACTTGCAAAATACATCACACCAACTAGACCAGCAGTAAATATAAAATTCTGACCAAAATTTAATTGTGCTAAGGATTTTGAAGTTTTCAAACTGGCTTCTTGATATTTTTTAAGATATTTATCATATTTATCTAGTTCATGTAGTTCATTGTTAAAATACTGAAATATAATATCAATTCCATATGAAACAAGGCATGAAACTGACAGCTTATACTCAATAAAGAGTATAATTAAGTCTCTATCATCAAAAGTGCTTATATAAGGACCCTTGTAATAGTGATGTCATAAAATGCAATTGCAAGTACCTTCGATGTCCAACTGCAAATTGGAATGTTGCCAATCAATGCTATCCTTGCTCACAATACATGTATTTAGGAAACTTTCATGATTGTAATTATATACATACAAACTAAGCTCTATGTTACTAAGTATAACATTGAATATTTACAACAATTTCAAAGTTGAAGAATTCAAAACAGCACCTAAATGGTAATATTGGTCTTAATATTCCTAAACATACCTTTACTGTTTCATAGTTAATAAGAGAATCTATCACTTTAGCTGAGGCTTCTTTTTCCGATTCATTCATTTGTCTCCTCAGTTTCTTTCTATAATAAAACAGATTATTTCATTAACGATACATGAAATGAATATCAGATCTTTAATTAATAAAACAAAAAGTGTATTTAATTATCTTTTTCAAAGTAGTCCTTTCAGTGAGTTCTCGTGCCAAGTATGTCCTAATATTGGAAAGTTAACTGCCAATTAATTGAGCATGTGTCAGCAGCATGAGATGAGATCTGTCAATAGATTTGATACTGTAGGAGGTATAAAACACAGATTTGAAAATGTTTAAGCTTTGTGTAACTGTACCTGTAATTTGTGAAACGAAAAGTGAAGATACCATATGCAAAAACACAGGAAAAGGCAACAGACGTGTATAATAGACCACAAGAATACCACTACAACAAACAATAATATCATTGAGAGATAACCTGTCTTTATACTTAGACTCAGATTGGAAAAATAACATTAACACTGTTATTGAACACTGATCATTGAATTACACTAAATCAGACTTATTTTTCTGCAGAATGAGTTGCTGACCTATTTTTACTTTATCTTCTAAACTAAATATAGCAGCTGACAATTTTTCTGAATTCTAGGAGAGTTGATTGTGTCAAGGGTAATAATTGAATACTACTTACCAAAATACCAGCAACTAATGATACTTCTAATATAAGAGGTACTGTGTTGAATATCATGTTAGTTAAAATAGTAGTTATTCCTCTACAAAATAAGGAATAAGTTCTTTTATCCGTAATCTATACCATTTGCAATATCAATCTAATTTATTCACACAATAAGCAATCAGGATATCACAGATTTTAAAGGTAATTTCTGAGGTTGACTTCAAACATTTTAATTTAAGTAAATGAGTTTCATAATGAAGAGTTAGAAATAGGTTCAAGGTGAAAAAGGCTTTGAAAATCACAAAACAACACAAACCCATATATTGTTGATCACTATAAGAAAGCATTTAGTCAAAATTCCTGTGTTCATAAAACTCCATCATCCAAAACTCTACTAATGATCTTATGTAATCTCATTACAATAAGGCTGTTTTTTGTTGTCCTTGTACCTACTTTGTTCCTTTATCAATAATTGTAGATATAGATCCAGTCTGTTTTGACAAATGAAATGATAGGTCTAAAGAATGTAGATGTAAAAATAGCTTGGTTGCCACTCTTCGTATTGAATTTTGTGCTACATTCGAAAACACTGCATTACGTAATTCTTGGAACCCATAGGCACTAGTTCTGGCAATACCATCTGAAATATAGAACACTGAGTGCTACAAGTATTACACCATTTTTGCAAGGCTGGCCAAGTATGCTCATCTTTTCAAAACACTTCATGTTTCCTTACAAGCATTTATCAAGTATAGAACCATTTCATCACATACAGTAATATAACTTATTATTTCATCTATTGTTCTTAAAATTCTCTGTCAAGTTTTTAGCTAAAAAAAATTAGAATCATAATGCAGATGTACATGGTATGTGACAGCAAGCATTACTTTATGATGGTGTTGTTTCCATGGCAATAATAATCAATATGTTAATACTTACACCCTAGAACCAGAGCTGTAGTTACTGTTATTAAGGAATTAGCACCTGTATCCATATTGTACACATTACCAGCAACTGTATTTAAATTATCAACTAGTGATTTAAATACAAATGGTACACAAGTATTTAATACCTGAAATAGAGAAAACATGTGATTTTACTTCAAAATTGTTGTAATGGATAATTTCAAGCTCTGTATGTCAGACCTTTGGCAACCATTTGGAGGGGTTCAAAGAGTGTCAACATTCTCTCAAGCATTACAAAGCAAATGGCCATCACGAGAACCTCGTACAATGATCTTGCATGTTTATCGAAAAATTTGTGTGCCAAGTTGCTATTAATATAAATATAATGATATTCCAAAATTTCAAAAAAACACAAACCACAAAAAGATATTGTTCAATATTCTGAAATATACAGGTCCAGAAAAACAAACATCTCAATATTTGAAAAAAAAAAAATTTCTGTGTAATTACAAATCCATTACTTACCTTTCCCCCAACTAGCAAAGAAAGGGCAATAACAACTCTGGGTTTAATTCCCTTTTCATCCTTTGGCCATACATGTGTTCCCAAAGCTTTCAAAACTTCTACTGTTTTAATATCAGCACTAGCTTTATTTGATGACACCGGGATGGCTTCTACATGTGAACAAGCACAGTCTCTCTTCTGGGATTTCTTTTGGAAAACCTATTTTGTAAAATTAACAATTTACATTAGAAAATGAAACTGGGACATTGTACAATAAGTTGAAATTCATCAGATATCAAAATCTGTTGCTTTGGAATTTAGCTGTGTTTGTCAGTCACCATTCAGGTACTTTAGGATTAATATCAGAGAGATTTAGGAATTATTAATCAAAGCATCATAATCAAACCTGTTTAAAGAATGACTTTTTCTTCTGCTGGCATTTACGTTGGTGGTGAAAAGTTTTGTATCTTTCATCATCTAAAGCTGGAAACTACAAAAATTCATGTCAATGTAATATGTAATATAATGTAGATCATAATTTCTTTAGCATAACTCTGCAATATCTGGTATGATCAATCGAATGGCAAATAAAGTGATATGCAATATAATTCCAGTCGACCCGGCTGTAAATGGATACAGCTAATCCAGTATAGATCAATGCCAAGAGATTTGTCCAAAGACCAGCTTCAGTTTCAAAATAGCATTGTTAGCCTTAATCCAATAATTGACTCTGTAGGCCTATATACATGTATACCAACGTAATGATGTAATGCGCTTTAAAACTTCAAGACTGATCAAATCAAATCTCTGATTGCCTTCAGGAAATTGGTGGAAAAATTTTCACTCTTCGACGATCGACCTATATTTTGCGATAAATGAACATAACAAGGTGATGACATTGATGGACTTATCATTCTGATTTTAGACAAATATTCAAGTTCACCTTAACAAAATCGGCAAAGGCAAAGGTTGTAGGAGAAATTTGTTGTGGTCCGAACTTCAAATTTCTAAACATAAGATTTGTTCACTTACAAACTGACATGGAACTCTTCTATACTTGTCCTTCAAGATATTACTTGCTCTTCCCGATAAACACGAATACTTGTGCTGTTGATGGAAGTTTGAGTTACAATTTGTTCCGGACTTTAAAAATGAAAGATATTTGGTTCTCCGAAGGTGAATGTACAGAGACATTTCATTACCTCCCCTACCATTCCGAACAAAACTAAAAAAAATGCTATTAAAAAACGAAAATATCGGGAAATAGTGTAAACAAATCATGTGAAAACAGTTTCCTTTGAAGTCCAATCATGTGTTAATTTACCGCCTGAACTTATCAATAGACTAATTTGTGTTATATTCATAATGTAATATTTGTAGTATGTCATTTAGTGCTTTAAATCTGTAATTGTGAAGTTAGTTGTAAATCATTTAGTATCACGGTAAAGTTATTGCACACCAATTTCAACATCGTATTTCATCTGTTCATTGCATAATTCTATTCAAGGGAAATAAAAGAAAAGAAGGTGTATGATCTATTTATTGTTGAAAATGCATAAGTCCAATAGAGCTAAGATGGGTTATCTGATGCAAAAGTTTGAACTCATACAATAACAAAAATAAGTGTTCCCAATGAGAGAAAAAAACTAGTGCTGGGTATTGCCAATCATGATACAATTACCTATTGATATATTTCAATGAGGTAAAAATTACCATTTTATATTCAAAGTTTAAATGTATATTAAATTTATATCTTTGTAACTGTGATATTTGATAATGTACATGTAGTTGATAAATGTGTTTCACTGCCTTTCAGTAAAGTCAGTGTGATTCTATTCACTAGCAAATAAATATCCCCACTTTATTATGGAATAAGAGGTATTGTCCACTCTCAATACATGACCTTGCGAAACGACATACGTATTGTGGCATATTCACCAATTTATCATCCCAGCACTAGTAAGTGACAGAAATTCTGAAGAGTTATCGTTCAGAACTACATCCAATGGCAAAAGAAACATAACTTCTGAAAATACTGAAAAAACTTATGTTATGTGATCTTTGGTCAATAAACTCATTTTACATACAGACCTTTGAAAATAAAGATGAATGTATGATACACCCAAATGACATTTCTCTTGCTACTCACTCAGTGTAGATGTCAAACTAATTACAGCTTAAAATACTAAGTTTCCCATAACTGTACAAGAGTTTTGTATAATGTAATTTATTAATTCTTTAACACAATCACAAGGCAGTAATAAACACTATTTATTTCTAGAAGCCTTCATTTTGTATTGAACTCTTCTTAATATTTGTTTCTTCCATGCTCTCTTTTCAAAATCTGGATTTTTAAGTTCACCAAAATCACACTCATTCTCTGGGTTTTTCACACAAGGTCTTACAAATTTTTCCTCTTTATGAACTATTCCAGGTCGAACAACATCAGAGTCTTGTAATAAAACTTTCCTTAATGTTGACATCTGATTAGGAGATAAGTCAAAATCCACAGTAAAGTAACTGGAATGAATATCAAAATAAATTGTAAAGTAAGTGAAATAAACATCCAAATAAACTGAAAAGTAACTGAAATAAATATCAAAATCAATTTTAGAATAACTGTATATTAAGTTAGAAGAATGGATATTTAAATCATATCTTAAGAATCTGGAATGAACAAACATCAATATCAAAATGTAAACTTTAGATTGAACATCAAAAGAACTATAAAGTACTGAAGTGGAGTGACCACAAAACGTTAGACTGAATTGTAATCAGAATGGTTGTTATAAATCTATTACTATTAGCTTTACATTTATTTATTTTTTCTGACTATCAGAAAAATATTTCTATGACAGTGCATACACACTTGGATTAATAACTGCCATTTATAATACATCCATAAATTGTTGACAATTTACACTTATCAAATATTCTTATTCTACGTACTTCCCTTCAGTGTGCCTATGGCCATGAGATGATATTATATACGGGAGGTTTTTGTTACCAAGATTCTCCATCTGGCGTACAACTCCTCCTCTATCTAAAATATATGTACATGTCCTCTTCAGACAATTTGCCAGCTGTGGCTGAAAAACAAAATATATCATTAACTTTCTTTTTTTCACAGTTGCTAATATCAAACTTCCCTGATGGTTAAGATTTGCATAAACGGCCTATAAAATTAATGTGGGCCTATAAAATTAATGTATGATCGGAGTTTTCGGACTAACTTTTAAGAACACGGTACCAAATAGCGAAAAAGCACTTTTAGGTGAATATCAATCAACCGTATTCATCTTACTCTTTCTAGTGCTGCTCTAACAATCAATGCTAACTCATACGTTGGCATATTTAGTATTTATTTGTAACCAACTCTGTCTAAAGATTTTCTCGTCAGAAGCTAGCCATACAAGATTTCTGGTGCCAGTGGAGTTATAACTTTTAATATACCACCCGTAGACTCGGTTGTCACAGATAAAGCATTTGACTAGCTGGGTCGCACTTGTTATCCGCGTCATTCACTTCCTGTGTCCTTGTCGGTCAAACAAAATGTCTGCCTTCAAGATCACTCAGTTGGTATGCAATCTTTTATGATTTAAATTTAATGGAATACTGAACATTGAAGTCATGATCTTTCAATTGACATACTCTACCCATTTAGTCTTTTTGCTGGATGGTGAAATTGACTTATTACTCACAGTATTTACAAGTAAAAGTATCCACGCAACAAATTATTTAGAGAAGATTAAATTTATAGTCCGAAATATTCGTACTTTATTTTCTGTGGACATGTCTTATACTCTTGTCGACCTCTTAAACTTGCGTTTTTCATTTTCCTATACCTTGATGAAGCAAACATAATTATTGTTATTATTACTATTGCATCTATTGTCATTGTCATTCATTGATTTGCAGTGAAATATTTTGTTGAGACAGCACTAGTCAAAATCGTAGAATAACACTACTGTCTACTAACAATCGGTTCTTGTTTACACTGTGTAGACAAGATATATGCCTAAGTTGTGAACTTAGCATGTGTTGAAATCGACCAATAGAACAACATATCCACACTTGACTACAGTCCATCAATGTCAACATCTAGTTATGTTTATTTTTTGCAAACCAACCTGCATAGTGACCTATCTATATTCATCCATATGTCTCAGACATGTCTTCCAAGCTTCAGGGCAAAACGGGTTCATGTACCCACTACAGGAGACAGAAATGACCGTGTTCTGAGCTTTAGGAAAAAATGGGCTCATGGACCTACTACAGGAGACAGATATGTGAGGTTTTTTTTTAACAACAGATAGGTCTTTATGTTAGGAAGTTCATTGGGTTTGACTGTTTTGTCAAAAGAATATACTTGACTGGAAAAATGGTTTACTAAGTAACTATCAAAGCTATCAAAATGTAAAGTACCAGTATAGCAATATGACAGTCTATTTGGGTCTGCCTATCCTAGAATTTCTCATTTCATCAAGCAACAGTTTTACATGACAAACTTTGATTGGTTAAAAATAACATCATGGGGATTGACTCAGTTATTATTGTTATCCTGGTGACATTTTGATTAAGATTGGCCAAATATATATGAGTAACGCCTTTACATAATTATACCATATGTATTATAATTATTTCAGGCCCGCCAATTTAGTACTTCTGCTGCAAGACAAGGAAGAATTGTTCAGGTATTTAAAAATTTTATCATTCTGCATTGTGAACTCTTGGTGCTCTTCTACAGGCTAGTTAAATCTTATTCTATTCACTTTTATTGGATTGCCATATTCTATAAACAGTAAAGCTTGAGGCATATCTGGCGATATTTTTTGTGTGTGTTATTAAAGTTGTGTTTGTTACTCTGCAACTGATTGTTTAACTTTGCTTTGATTGTGTTTATTTCTTACATGAGATGTAACTGAATATCTTGTATTTTCAAGGCACCCATTCAGGTGTATGGAATTGAAGGTAGATATGCCCATGCTCTGTATTCGGCAGCATCAAAAGAAAAGAAACTTGATGTTGTGGAAAAAGAACTGAGTGATTTTGGGGTGAGTTTATGTTAGAAAGTTGATAATGCAACTGATTCTAACTTCATTCTTTAAATTAATCTGTTCTGTAAGGGATGACAAATACCTCCAGTCAGTGTTTAAAAAGTGAAAATTTCTTTCACGTGGTACAAAAAGCTTTTATTGATCATAGCATTTGAATGGTTAAATATTTGTGTAAACTTTGATAATGTAATATTTGTTTTTATGTGGATTCACTCACAGAAAACAATTATGATGAAACTTTTTGATCTGCATGAAACTCCTTGAAATGAATACTGTCAATAGTACAAACAAAGGACTGCATTCTACTGAAACTCTGAAGCTTATGTATGCTTTATTTTTCCAGGCTTTATTACAAAAGGATTCGAAATTAGCTGACTTTTTTAGAAATCCTGGAGCACATAAAAGTGATAAATTAGGTATGGTTAATTTTTATATTGCTCAGACCTTTCTTTGTATTGAGGGCTGAGATAAATGCCATTCTCAGTAAAAATCATAAATAAATCTGTTATTCAGGCTGCTGATTAAAAATAACTGTCTGTTTAAAGATGTACATTTTTTCTGGTAATTAAACTATATAATTTTAAAGCATATGTACTACAGATGAAAAATTCTTACTAATGATTTTCCTTTAAAACCAATAAATTGTAAAGAATTTGAACTGTCTTATTTCATTACACTTGATAACTTTATAATTTTCAGCTGCTCTTCAGTCAGTGGTAAAGAAGTTCAAATATTCAGACTTGACCAATAATTTAGTTGGTAAATATCAATTTATATCCTTTGAAATTCTTATTCATTTGTTTCTATTGTGGGTCAGTGAGAATACCGAGAACCTTATGACCTTTTGTTGTAAAATAAAGATTTTGCTTCATACAAATTTATTTATTTTAGCTGCCATGGCTGAAAATAATAGGTTTAATAAACTTGATTCAGTTATTTCATCATTTGCCAAAATAATGAGTGCAGCAAAGGGAGAAGTTCTTTGTGTTGTTACCACAGCAAAGGTATGAGAATTTTTTATATGATAACATGCCAATACACCATGCCCAATATTAAATTGTTTAATTTTTCAGCATATTGATTACCCTTGTGGCTTGTATTAAATCAGTAAATGACTTAAGTTTGTTCATACAATGTTGAACTGAAGAAGACTAAATGAATGATTATGTTATTAAACATATCTCTCAAGTAATATTGACTGTAGAATACCCTTTAGCCTTACACTGACATATAAGTGTGATTTTTACCCTTTTAAAAACTAATTGGCTTATTTTAATTTGACATATTTTTTATTTTCAGCCCTTAGATAACTCCCAACAGAAAGAAGTACAAACAATTTTGAACTCTTTTCTTAAGAAGGGAGAAACTCTTCTACTTGAAATGAAGGTATTTTATTTTTGATATTTAAATGTTATAGTTATTACTAGTAATTTCCTAATGCAACTATGATTAGATTTACTTTTGAATTTGTTTTAAGAACTTAATAGTTCTACCACAGGATTCTTACTGGAACTTTATTGCATTCAAAATTGTTTAAATTTAAGTTAAACCATGTGGACAAAGACCATAAACAAATACCTCACAGATGTAATAGGATGGAATTCAATTAGTAATTGTGAAATCAAGTCAAGAATTATCTCTTATAGGCATAGTGTTTGAGTTAAATTTGACTATCATGAGAGTACTGTTAATTATTAACCTATAGATAAATAGCCCCAAGCAAATCTCTTGGTAACAGATAATTCTCAATTTAAATACGTCATATAATATTTAATATATGCCCAGTTGTCAGAGTGTTGGACCATCTCAAAAACTTAACACTAGATGCTTTATGTGTTTATTTTCCAGGTTGATCCTAGTATAATGGGTGGTATGACAGTAACAGTGGGTGATAAGTTTGTAGATATGTCCTTCTCAACTAAATACAATACCTACTCTAACCTTTTAAAACAAGCTGTTTAGATAAACTCTGATTATAGTGCTGTATGGTAGTCAATGTAAATATTTGAGAAAAGGATAACTTATCTCTGTGCTGATGAAGAAATGTCTATTTACATCTATAGAATAAATCTTACATCAATATTTGAGTAATTAATAAAAGTTGATATATTTAATGGATTTTTTTGAAACAATTGTCTTGTAACATTTAATTAATGTATATTCACCAGTCAGTTATGTCACCTCATTTTCTGAAATCCTTGCACAAAATTTTTCATCTCTGGCCTACAGTCATGTTGTATTTTCACTCTTGGAAAATCCAAATGAATTCCACATCATTTTCAGAATAAAAAAGTTTATTTGCAATTTACTCAGTGAAAATTTGCAAAATATGTTTGTAAATGTTATAGAAGGTACAGTTTTCAATCAGTTTTGATATAAGCATAGCTTTGGAGTTATTATCCTTGATATCTGTGAGTACAAGGAAAACAGATTTCAATCAGTTTTGATCATTGAGATTGATCAAATATTGAAGTTTGAAGTTGATGTTTTTTTACCATTGGCCCCTGATAAACTTGCTGACAAATCAGTTTAGTGAGACTAATTTTTAATGATTAGATTATGACTCATAATTTATGCTGTTATCTTTAAAATTGAACAAAGCTGCATACATTTACATAACGTGACCAGCTATCTCTGAAACAATAAGCTGCTCAGAAACTCTCTAAAGCATTTTCCTTGTTATATTGAATTTTAAGCTTGTGAGCTTCAAAACAGTACTTAAGTTGACAAAAATTATATACTTTAATTGTAAGTTTGCATCTAATATAAACACACCTGAACATGAAATTTCACATAGCGTCCTACATTTTTACTGAAAATCACTCGAGAAACTCAACAGCTAAAAGCTGGTTGATACTAAGCATTAGATGTTGGGGGATTTAAGACTTCATCCATTCCAATAACCAATGATGCAAATAGGGAAATTTTCTAATGACCTATCCCCTTCCCAATCTTAGAAGATCCAGATCTCACCTAGTTGAATGTTCAATCTGTAAGCAAGGCTAGGTGTGTCCAAACAGGGGACTTGAACTTACTCATGATGTGTCATACTTTGACATAATGATAGAAATATCCTGGAAACTTGCCTAACATTACTCATCTCATTAAGATGTATTAACTTTGCAGGAAGTACAAAAGATCTGTAAGAATAACACTGATATTGATAGATTTTCAAATCCAAGAAGTTAAGAATACTAGATTGGCCAGTAGGCTACCTGGGCAATGACCCAGATTTATTCCAAAGCTTAAAAATAAAATATTTAACTCTTTGACAGCATTTTATTTAGACCAATAGCCTTGCTGTTAATTTCCTATCACGATCGGATGGTGAATGATTAGATGAGATTTTTGGTTGTGCAACAAATTGTATAGAGACTTGTTAAATATTTCAGACAAATAATTTAAGAATAAATCCCATCTCATGTCAGCAGGATACAAATGAAAGAAATTATTGAGTAAAGCACAAGTATGACTTACACCCCAGAATCTTCTATCTTCTTTTGTACGCTAAGGAAAAGGCCACACCTTGATGATACAGGTATATAATAATCTTTAAGCTACATTTACAAGTAGAGATCACATTAAATAATGGAACATATTTATTTTTTACAACAATGGAATAGTATTTCACAAAATTGTGTTCTGTATATATTTCTGTTTATATCTCAGAATATATTGCCTATTGAAATAACCATATAAACATGTTATTTGAATTAATGTTACAGCAATAACTTCTACTTTCACGGTAAATATTAAGTTGTAGCAAACAAATACAAAATCCCTTTCAACCATTCCACAATTTCATGTCCACCAAGTTTTGATTCACCAAACACTCGATCAACAAATGATATGGGTACCTCTCCTACTGAGTATCCCATATGTCTTGCTTGTATAATCATTTCAATTTGGAAAACATAGCCTTTAGATCTGCAAGCTTTGACTAATCTTTCTAATATTTCTTTCTTGTACAGCCTGAAACTTCCTGTACAATCTGAACATCCTGGTCTTAGTAACACTTGTACAATATAATTAGCACCACGGCTAATTAGTTTTCTTTTAAAATTCCAGCCATGGACACCACCATCACCAGCATATCTTGTACCAGACACAATATCATAGTCACCGGAGATCTGTTTTTCAATAAATTGAGAAATAAATTTGGGATGATGAGACATATCAGCATCCATTATAAATACAAAATCACCAGTGGCATGTTGAACACCGTGAATATATGCTGTACCCAGTCCAAGTTTCTTCTCTCTTGGTCTCAGAACAATTCTTTTTTCTCCATAAATTTCTTGCAATTTTTTGGCAACTTCTAATGTTCCATCTGGAGATCCATCATCAATTATTATAATTTCATAATCATACTTTCCTTCGGAAAAATATTTGACAAGCAACCAAACGATGATAGGAAGATTGTCTCGCTCATTATATGTCGGCAATAAAACTGAGTACTTGTGTTTGGAAGCCATGGTGGATTGGTGCCAAGCCCAAGGTCGAGGCCACACACTAAAGCCTAAGGCCAAGGGGTCTGTGTCACTATTATGGAACAGAATATCTATTATCTATGCTTGCGACATGCTCAAACACCCTGAATCAGTTGTAAGTTAACTCCTGACTTGATATCAGTTTGGTCAGCTCGAAGAACTGTTTGGTCAGCTTTAGTTCACGTAGACATATCACGTGGGAAATGTTTACAATTTCATCAGAATATATCAATGGGCGTGTTCTATTAACTTTCAACCAATCGTCTCTCTACATCTGGCTTAGCTGCTTAGCTGTTAAAAAATGCTGTTGGTAGAAAAGAAAAATTGTACTGGTATCAACCAAAATTTTGATTCTAAAAGATTACTGATAAATAATAATTTATTGAAGTATTGAAGCAACGGGTTTTATTTAGTAAATTTGTCAAATCAATAGTGGGAAAGGTATTTGCTGCTCAGTCATACTTGACCGGAAGTCTTTACAGATGTACCGGTGCAAAATGGTTTTAGGCTTCGAAAATTAGGCCCTAATCCTGAAAGTTTGTTTTTCAGAAAGTTAAATGACTTGAAGATGATAGCAGCTATAGTTTTGAGAGTGCTACACTATATTTTAACACTTGGACTGATTTTACGTAACTTTTTATACCATATTCCTAATGCATACCTCTCATTTTATAAGAAAAATAGTGTGATCAGTATAAGAAATGATGCAAAACATTTGAAGAAGCTGCCAATGCATCTTGGATTTGTTATAGTTGAAAATGACTACACATTTAGAGATATTGCTAATTTAATTGTGTGGTCTGTAGCAATGGGAATCTCTTACATCAGTGTTTATGATATAAACGGTGAGTCGTTATTTTTAGGTCCAGAACTAATGAGTTAGACTTAAATCTACTTTATTTTTATAGCACAGGAATCAGAAATTCTATCAATAATAAGGTATAGGCTATAGGGTAATACCTTGTCGCCTATTTTAGATTACCCTATATACCTTATTGATAGAATTACCGATTTCTGTGATTATAATAATTATGTAGTAATATTATGTAAGTTATGACTTTAAAAGAATTGTCCCTTCCATAGTCCTGATGTTGCTGACTTTGTGAATGCTTTAATTTAGCCCAATAACTGTTTTTATATCAAAGTAGGCTATGAGAAGGAGACAACTTTCCCTTGCATTTCCCCAATGTAAATTAATGTATCTTACATTTTTCAGGTGATATAAAGAGAAATAGCTTCTTACTTCAAAAGGAAATAAAAAGAAGTAAACAAGAAACTTTTGCATCAGAAGATTCTAAGTTTGAAATAAGCCTATCACTAAGTGAATCAAAAGAGATGCGTAATGAAGGTTAGTGTAAATTTTCTGTGATATTTCAATCATGTGATCTTTTCTAAGAGATAAAAGATTGGCTATTCAACCAGTTATCCCTGATTATCATTGACTAGTTTTGTTCGTGTTTGAACTCTTCTCACCTTAAGGGGTCCTATTTATACTGATTACTGGGTGTGGGTTTTACCGGGGATTTGTATGTATCAGGGTTATTGGGGTGGATTTTTACCGAGTTTACCGGAGTTGATCAGAACCGGGGTAGAGAGGTTTAAGACTTCACCAGACTGTCTGGGTTAAGAGAAGCTGGGAGAAATTACGTATTCTAAAGGTTTCAACTAGTAATGACGAGTCATGATTAAGTTTTTAATTAACCCTTTTAAAACAAAATCTGTTTAATCAAGTAGATACATAGATATGAATAGCATACTTTAGAAATATTTTCAGGTATAATTTTTGATAATGAATAAAAGCAGAAAGGCCCCTTTAAAGATTAAGAAATATTTAATTCATTTTTGTTTCAGAAGAAAGTAGTTTTAAACAACCTCAAGTACATTTACTAGCTGCTGATGATGGGCGTTTAAATTTAGTTAAAACAGCACAAAATTATTGTCAGTTGGTTAAAACAAACCAGTATCAGTTAGAGGATATTGTGCCAAATAATGTAGATAGTCATTTACAAAGTAAGTTTTATTAACCATAAACTATATTAAAGGGGGATTGATTTAAACTACAAGAAAATCCTTTCAAATATATTTGGGAAACTAGAAATTTTTACTTTCTACTTATGTCTTTTTTATTTATGGCAGAGTCTCTCAAGAAAAGACGAGGTGTCATTTTGACTTTCAGTAAGAATTATTCTGGACTATTCTGGAGGTCAGTTATTATGGAAAGTCTCCATGCTAGTGAAAAGAATCTGATTCCAAGAAACCCACTTTTAAAAAGGTAGTATAAATGAGAAACTACTTAGTTCTGCATGCTGACTGGATAATATTATGTAATGTTTTTTATTCTTTATTATTTCAGAATTATTTAAATTACCTGACCCAGATTTAGTTATACTATTAGGACATATAAACAGTCTTTTAGGTTTTATGCCATGGCAAGTTAGATTATCAGAAATTTTGTAAGTGAATGAAATTAAATTATATAGATTTACTTGCAAAAGAAATGAAAAAAAAGCTTGTATCTGATAATTAATATAAAACCAAGCACAATAAACAAATAATGGATATTCTGGGGTCAGTAACAATTAAGTAACATTGATGTTTACATTGACAAATGTAGATACATGTACCGGTACTTAATTTTGCTTGCTAGTTTTTTGCCCAGGTTGAAATTAGCTGAGGGCGAAAGGTGGGTTAATGTCAACTTTTGTTTTTGAAAGTGTTCTAAAGTGAAAACTTTACTCTCTTGAATGAGATTGTTTAATTAAACTTCTCCTTTTTATATTTCAGAAATCTTCCATTAAATAAAGGTGTGAATTATAAATCGTTTTTGTCCCTAATTTATACGTATGGTAAAACTATTCAAAGATTTGGTACATAATAATTAGATTCAGAAAGAGAGCAATATTTATATATTAACATGTACACATGGATTTTGATTGTCATTTAAACGAATGTATGAAATTGAATGTTTTGTTTATAACAAATTGTTATGAAATATACCATTGTATATCAGGAGATCTGAGCTGTGTTATCAGTATCAATCATGTCTGTTAATTTTTATAGTGATTTTCATGAACTTAAACCAAGAAAATTGTGATTAAAAGATTTAACTATTGCTATATATGCTGTTTCTATTTTTTTCAAATACAGTGAATTTAAATCATGTAATGCTAGAGATGCATCGATGAATTGTTAAAAGTTTCAAAATGTACTATGCAATTTACAGTGAAAACATTTTGATTTTGTAAAGGTGATCTGTGATCACAAAATCTGGCTTCTTCTCTATCTTAATAAATTCAAATCTATATTTTTTGAAATGCATGTTGTTGCATTGAGGGAAAAGCTGTAAATGCCATCATAGAATGACCATAAATATCATAAAGAACTGTTGTTTTTATTCTTGAAATGTATACCTCTAATGAACATCTGCATTAACTTTGTACTAATTGAACCTCCTCCATTGTCAAAAAATATGATGCACTGTGCACACATTGTGTTGCCCTCCCAGTTGGTCTTATCTGTTTACATGCAGACTGTTGTAAATGTTTATTTTATTGGGATTCTAAGAAAACAATGGTATAAAGAAATAGCTGTGCACTTTGATCAATCATTCACACAAGAATTATCATGGAGGTAACCTCTGGACCTGGTGCAGAAATATCATTCAACATAATTCAGGAGATAAGTTGTGAAAAATCATTTAGTAGTCTAGCTACTATTGTATCTTAATTTCAGCTGTCCACATCACTTCAAGCAGTCCCTAATTTATAACCGATGTTTATCAAAAATGTATATTGTGAAAGTTTAAGTTTCTTTACTTTCAGATAACATTCTTGCATGCAGATATAATATTGGGCTTTGATCAATATCACGACTTTAAAGCCCAGTCAAATCATACATAGATTTGAAATTTTATGTTGATTTAGCCATAGTTATTATAGTTCTATGACTTAGCCTAAAATTTATAACCTTTACACAGTCATCTAAATCCAGATTTAAAAAATGTAATTATGAAACAAAGATCGGGCTCATATTGAGTGAAATCTTAGGCCATTCAAAGCAAGAGTAAGCTGTCAATGTTCAGTGCAATGAAAAAATAATTGTTTTACAAATTTGATATTGCTCCTTTAAAATGATTCCCGCCAAATTGTATCACGTGATAGACACGTGGTTATTCTAAATAAAGTAATAATGTCGGATAGCGAAGAAAGCATACGTTCTTTGTCTAAGAGACACAGACTTTCGTTATCCTTAATAAATGATGGCTCTGGTGACGATTTGGTAATGTTATTTTCATAAAGTATTTTGTCCTATGGTGTAGATAAACTCCTGTTCATGATATCAAAGCTGGCCGTGAAAAGGAGTAGGCCTACTATGACCACGGCACAAAGTGTAGGCTACAGACCACACCAAATTTCTAGACTAAGATGAAGCATAATTGAGGAACGACTCACTTGTTTTGTTTGATTGATTTTAACAAATTTAGAAATGGAAATTACCTCTGCTCTCCTTCGAGTCTGATATTTTAGTGACCAAAATAAAATTGACTTTGATAAAATCTGAGAGTGAGCGTTGAGTTTGATAAAATCCTAATTATTATAGATGTTTTATATTGAAGGATGATATTTCAAGTACAGCTAGTACTAAAGAAGAAGAATCATCAAGAAGTGATACTCCCACTCAGTTTTATAATAGAAGAGGAAGAGGCAAACCTAGAGCTAAAAAATGCAAATTACAATATAAATGTTCCAATATTTTACAAGTATGTACGGCCTACCGGTAGCCTACAATTGATTTTTTTAAAATATTGTGAGCATAATGCATTAAAAAATTTTCACAGTTCAGAGATATATACTTTATTGACTTAGGTCTGGCTTATCAAAGCAAATAAAAAAATAATTCATTTGATGGTAGAATCGACAATTTTTAGTTTTTAGAGTCTTTTATGAAATATATTTCTTCTGGGTTTATTGATGAAATGAAAAATGTAGATTCTGCAAATTAATATTAAGCAAAAGGTATGAGTGTTTCAGATAACTATTTATTAGAACAGCTTATTTCCTTGATAATTGTTTCTGTATATCTGTGTACTTATTCTTGATCATTTGATCTACAGGAGGATCACAGCCAACCGATATTTGGATTGCAGATAAATTTGAATGCTCCAGAAACTGATCCATTAACATTTGCTACAGTTGGTAATAATAGAGTAAGTTATTATGAAATACAGGTTATGGGAATTGATTGAAATTGATATTGATCATATTTGTGGGCTCTTGAATACATGGATTGGCTGACTTATTTCAAGGAATTCCAAGATCTGACATTTATCATACTCCTATAAACAGATGTGATATTTTGATTATCTATTCCAGGTGAGCGTCTATGAATGTCATGAGAATGGGAAAATCAAATTATTACAAGCTTATGTTGACCCTAGTGTATCCTTTCATTCAAACTTGAATGTTTTACAAAATTATTATTTTTATACGCCCACACGTAAGATGGGCGTATATTGTAATCACCCCGTCGGTCCGTCGGTCCGTTCACATTTGGCTCGTGCTCACTCTACAGGCTACAGTTCTTTATGGATTCTTTTGATTTTTATTTTGTATGTTAATGTTGTTATGAAGATGATCCCTATTGATTTTCGTGATGATCGGATAATTTTTCACCGAAATATCGTGTCTGACTTGACGCTTACTCTATTAGCTATATTGTGCAACTCGTGCTCACTCTACAGGCTACAATTTTTTACAGATTCTTTTGATTTTTATTTTGTATGTCTGTGTCGTTATGAAGATGATCCCTATTGATTTTCATGATGATCTATCGATTTTCATGATGATCAGATAATTTTTCACCGAAATATCGTGTCTGACCTGACGTTTTACTCTATTAGCTATATTATGCAACTCGTGCTCACTCTACAGGCTACAATTGTCTACAGATTCTTTTGATTTTTATTTTGTATGTCAATGTCATTATGAAGATGATCCCTATCGATTTTTGCGATGATCGGAGAATATTTCACTGCAATATCGTGTCTGACTTGACGTTTCACTCTATTAGCTATATTGTGCAACCCTGTAGTCACTAAAGACTGTTTAATCATTTCTGACAGCTGCCAGTGGGCGTATGTTACCTTGCCTGGCAAGCTATCTTATTATCTTTGAAGAAACTTGTTATTCTTTAATTTGAGAAGGAATTTACCAGATTCTAATGTACTTGAAATGTTAAAGAAAAGTTATATATAGCATGCTACCAGTATAAAATTTTGAAAATCAGACTGTTTAAAGTTTAACTATTTTGACTTTTGGCATGTAATTAAGTTTCTCTATTTTCCTTAATGATGAATAGAATGAAGAAAATTTTTATTGTTGCGCTTGGTCTCATGATGATATAACTAAACAGCCAGTATTAGCTGTAGCTGGTGTTAGAGGAATAGTTAGATTAATTAGTCCCATTGCTATGCAATGTATTAAGGTAAGTTGGGTAGTCATTCTAAAACTTCATTCCAAAATCATGATGGTTTCATGACAGAGTTTGCATGATGGTGAATATATTGTTGGTGTGAAAATAATAAATTTTGATGTTTTGACATTTTATGAAATACGTATTTTGGGGGCAGATATAATGTCACTAATCAATGTCTTTCTGTCTGTCTTTCCAAAATTTCTTTTCAGGGGCAACTTCTATAGGATTTGATGTTACAGTGTATTTAATAGACTTGAACATGTCAGAGTCGAGTATGGATATCTATCTACTTATATCTATCTACTATTTTATATCTATTTGATCAAATGTATTATATTTTCAGCATTATGTTGGACATGGCAATGCTATCAATGAACTTAAATTTCACCCCAAAGATTCTAATCTACTACTCTCAGTTAGTAAAGGTAAATAGTTTAAAGCTTCAGCAGATTGTTACATGATAGCAGTGAACAAACACTGATGTATTGACAAAGGCTCAAAAGTGTGCCAAGCACTATATATGTTACAAATGAAACAGGTTCACAATATACCAAAACGAAAATGCCTTACATATAAGCATTATTTTTTTTTAATTCAGCTAATTTTCTATATAATTATTTTAGATCATTCTATGAGAATATGGAATATTAAAAGTGACGTATGTGTTATGATATTCGGTGGTGTTGATGGACATAGAGATGAATTATTAAGTGCTGTAAGTTTTGCTACATTGATAAGTTTATATGATTCCATGTAAAAAATTAGTTATGCATGTATGTCCTAATCAAACCAATATTACAGCTGACATCAAACATAACAGGCAAGTACAAGCAAAAAACAGTCAGGAACATTAATCTTGGACCCTAAACAATAATATGGATTTATCGTCTTAACATAAAATTTACACTTTCAATATTTTTTTCAGGATTTTAATTTAGAAGGAACAAAAATCATATCCTGTGGAATGGATCATTCTTTAAAAATCTGGAACATTGATACCTCTGAATTTACTGATGTTGTTGAACAATCTTATAACTATTCACAAACTAAAACCAAAAGGTACATACAAATCTGTCATATATAATTGTGAAATATTTTGTTGAAATAGATGGAAGAATCGAGTATTAGTTGCCAAAAGTCAATTTTTGTTGCGTTATTGTATTCAAACCCATAGGCTATAAGTAAAAACGAATAATTCTTTCTTTTTTCAGACCTTTTAGTACTGTATCAAACCATTTTCCTGTATTTTCCACCAGAGATATTCATAGAAATTATGTAGATTGTGTTCGATGGCTTGGCAATTTCATTTTATCGAAGGTAATATATTCCCATTGTACAAAATCAATTAAAGAAAAAGGATTTTGTTACATTTGATCATAATATACGGCGTATATTGCCGTCACCCATGTCCGTCCGTCGGTCCGTCCACAATTGCTCGTAAACACTCTGCAAGATACAATTCTTGACGAATTTTGACAAAACTTGGTTTGAGTGTTCGTAATCACCCAAGGATGAACCCTATTGAAAATCAGAAGAATCGAAAAATATTTAGTATAAGTTATTGCGTTCTTGAAAACGCGTTCAATTTTTAGCTCGTAAACACTCTAGAAGGCACAATTCTTGATGGATCTTAACAAAACTTTTCTTGACTTTTCGAAACAATTCTTGACGGATTTTGACAAAACTTTGCATGAGTGTTCATAATCAGCCAAGGATGAAACCTAACGAAACTTTGCATGAGTGTTCGTAATCACCCAAGGAACCGTATTGAAAATCAGAAATATCGAAAAATATTTAGTATGAGTTATTGCCCTTGTTCTTGAAAACGCATTAAATCTTTAGCTCGTAAACACTCTAGAAGGCACAATTCTTGATGGATCTTAACAAAACTTTTCTTGACTTTTCGAAACAATTCTTGACGGATTTTGACAAAACTTTGCATGAGTGTTCATAATCAGCCAAGGATGAAACCTAACGAAACTTTGCATGAGTGTTCGTAATCACCCAAGGAACCGTATTGAAAATCAGAAATATCGAAAAATATTTAGTATGAGTTATTGCCCTTGTTCTTGAAAACGCATTAAATTTTTAGCTCGTAATCACTCTAGAAGGGATAATTCTTGACGGATTTTGATGATACATGGTGTGAATGTTCGTAATCACCCAAGGATGAACCCTATTGAAAATCAGAACAGTTGAAAAATATTTAGTATGAGTTATTGCCCTTGTTCTTGAAAAGGCTTTCAAATTTAGCTCTTAAACACTAAAAGACATGATTCTTGCAGGATTTTGACAAAACTTGGTTTTATTATTCAGTCCCGCGCTGAAGATTGAATATTTGTGTTTTCACGAGCTAAAATTGAACACTTATATCAAATCATAAAAATATTGAATTTTTTTTAGGGAAGAATTCACATTGGTTATTTAACATGTATTATTTTAAAGTGAGCAAAAAGCCTATGATATGAAATATAATTATTGAATTTAGCTTTGCTTATTGTATTCATTTCTATAGTCATGTGAGAACTGTATAGTATGTTGGAAACCAGGTAATATACATCAGCCTATAGATAAAGTAGCAGATAATACAATTAGTATAATATACAGATTTGAATATAAAGAATGTGATATATGGTACATGAGATTTTCATTAGATTATTCCCAAAAAGTGAGTATTTATCTATCTTAAAGACCAATTCATGTAGGGGAATGAAACTTAATACTTACACACCATTTTTAAGTTCAATTGTGCTCAGAGGTTTCATTGTTGTTGTTCTTACAATAGATTTTGATATAGATTTGATTGTAGATGCATTGCCCAAATGCTTTTCATAATTTATAATTAATATGTAATCAAGTTGTGAATGTGAAATGTTTATTGTAGATAATGGCATTAGGTAATCAATGTGGTAAAATATATGTATGGGATTTAGATACAGACGACCCCTCTACTGTCAGGTTTGGCTAATTATCATTTATCCTAATTGATTTTTGTTAATTTTGTTCCATTATTTGAAAAAATAATGCAAAATAGTAATAATTGTAGTTTTATATAACTTAACAAGTTTCTAAAGATTTGAACTAACATCATTCATTTGTTTCTTTTAGATTCACTAAGCTTGCACATGCAAAAAGTATAACAGCAATACGACAAACAGCTTTATCAAAAGATGGAAGCATATTGTTAGCAGTTTCAGATGACAGTAAAATTTGGAGATGGGATAAAATAAGTGGATAATTATAGATTAACTGATCTGTAAGCTTATTCTGAAGAATCTGCTGTGAGGTGAAATTCTGATGACTGATTTTAACAATATTGTGCTGATTGAGACTCAATATCTAAACTAAAGACAGAAATCAAATTGCTGAGATAAATTTCACAAAGAAGTACCCATCAGCTTAGTACATTTTAGGAAGACATACCACAGTAATAGTGTGAAAATTTTAGTCAGAGATATTAATGCAAGTTGAGGGAACAAGGGCAATTCTTGATTAAAGATTACATTCTCATCCTTCATTCATAGACATTATCAAATAAAGCACTCATATCATGCATGCTGTGGTTTTATTAGTATGAATATATTTGCCCACAACAGATCATCTTTTCACTGTTGAAATCCAGCAGATTCAATGGTATATGGGAGATAACCACTTTTCCTATTTACTGATACAGACAACAATTAAATTGATTTAATTGATATAAGATCAATTCAGTCCCTAACTCAATGTCTACGACATGGAATTTTTTTCAGAAGCGGACACCATCCACCAACAAGAAGAAAAATTCAGTCCAAACACTTTATTCTGATGGTGAGCTCATAAAATGTAGACTTGGCTATGTACAAATCAGAGAATATAGAGGACTTCAGGAATGGGGACAAAATTATAACAGAAGTGAACAAAATTATATGGTAGAATTTAATCGCAAGTTCACCAGGCATATAGGCCTACAATATGTTGAAATTTTCTTTACTTCGCTCTCACAAATAAGGAGAATGTCGTGCAATCATGAAGTAAATTATCTTTTCAAAAAATCCGTTGAGTACGTGGTGTTAAATATCATGAAAATAACAATTTAAGGTTTAAAATAGAATACTAAACATCAGATATGGTCTTCAGGTACACAATGACCTATCTCAAATCACTGCTTTGGCGAGTCAAGTCTTTTGAGTACAACTCTTGTGTTCCTAATCATTCAAACAAATCGTATTTATAACTCATTATTCACTCAATTTTTCGCCTATAAAAAGGAAATATTTTGCACCTTGCTGACAAAACACTTTAAATACATTGCTCTAAATTGAAACTCAACCAGTCAGTAGCAATCACACTGCTTCCTATATCAATATATTAACTTTTAGTACAACTAGATATTGTTTTTATCTCCATTCATCTTCATTTATGTCATAATTTTCCATAGCTTTATCAATGTATATCCATCTTCCAAGAACACCTACATCAAGGATTGACTTGTGAAATTCGGTCCAGTGAGGTTTTGCATATTTACACTGAGCATTAAATAGCTTTAAACCTTTATTATATTCTGTTTTATAAATTATAGAAAATAATCCTACATTTTGGTATCTTAAATATCCATCATTGAATTTATGAATAACATTTTCCATGAACTTGTCAGAAGTTTTGCTTCTGATAGGTTCGCCAACTAATGCCAGATCATTGGCATTTTCTATGATTAGTTCTTTGAAACTAGCCTCTGTTGGGTTCAGTTTATAAAAGACAGCACCTGTTCCAAGTAATGAGAAATAAAAACTGGCCTTTAAAGGCTTATCCTTAATGTCTTGTAGAGTGTCTAGAAAAGCAGCTTTGTAGTCTCCATAAATGTTGTAAAAGTAATTCCCAATCTTTTCTACTCGACCTCCTTTCACCTTTTCGGGAACTTTTACCTTGTTAGCTGCCCTTTTTAAACCGTTGAAAACTCGTAAATATGACTGGAAATTCATTTTTAACAGAATTATGTTCAAGATATAAGAAAATGTGATTATTGCTGTAACCCTTGATTCGAAGAGCATGGATGTAGTTATCTCCCTTAACCCTCTTCATCGAAAAGAAGAAAAAAATACAGTATTTTCGATTATCCGGTCCTGCCATTTGTATGGATAAGTGGTCTGGATAATCGTTGTCAGTGCCCGTCATAAATTTTTGGAGTAATATCATTGGTCTTTTTTATTTATCACAGCCAATCAAACTGGCTTTTGTTAGACGTAAATACGGAAGTCTCGGTTATCATGACTATGAATTTACTACTGGACTGATCCTGACTAGTCTGTAATTGGGAAAATGAGAGCTGAAGTCTGAACTAATGTCTGTCTTTTTGTTAACTGCCACAGTCTGATTAATTAACTGGCCGATGAAACTGAAGTCAGATGATGTTCTTTGTAACTCTTGTAAGGCAGTAAGTATATATTATTTATATATTTCATTAGGTTATTTGATATAATCCAAATTGTGCCTGACACTCTTCTTATGTTCAGTCAATCAGTGTCATGTCTGCTGTGAGTTTGGGTTATGGCAAAGTGAATTCAGGGCATGGTGCCCTAACCGTAGTAATATATTGCAACTGTTGAATTGATTGATTTATTTATGCCATGGATTTGAAGACTTCTCAGCTCCATATAACTTATAGCTCTATGAAGTACAATGTTTAAAAAAAAAGAGTTAAATGCCTACAGTTTTATCTGCATATTTTTATTGACACTGACAGAATTTTGTACTGCAGCATCAGCCATGAACATCAGGTCTATTATATTGTTGCATGACATTACATTTATATCTGCTTGACCCTGATAATGTTTGTAGGTACTTGTATTCTGTAAAGTTTTGTCGGGATTTGTTCACATGGGAAATGATTTTTTTAATTTTTTTTATTAAAAACATGATTCCACTAGACACTGATGGTTTTCTAATCATTATGATGTTTGCCCCCACCCTGGTAACATAGCTTCCTTGTTAAAGTGATACTACGTCTTAGAATTAACATAAAATTTAAGAATTTTAAACTTAGCAAATAAGAGCCAGTAGATATACCTGGTGTCATAAATAACATAACAGGAACCTCATATAATCTGATGAATCCAAAAAACTTAGTAATTATCCATAAATTTGTAATTAACTATTGAAAAATGCCTAATATCAAGATTAAGCGTTTTTCAATAATTATTTAGTTTTATCAATTTTACATAATGGTGCTTTATCTTGTTCATCCTGCCTGTTTGACACCTTTTGACAGTTCTTAGGTTCTGCCTTATGGCTATATACAAATAGCTACTTCACAGGGAAATAAGCAATATGTTTTATGTAACTTGCTGCCATTTTGCAAAGATCCAAAAAAAGCCAGTAAGGAGTATTGTGGGTTTGAAGCATGTGATTCTTTGTCATTAAGCCACCTATAATTTTTGACAGTAAGTTTTTGAAGTTGTAGCAAGTTGGAACAGTTCTGCCACGGCTTTTCCATGCCTAGTTTACGATTTCTTCAACTGAAACATTCAACTAGGTTTTGCAATTTTAATCAAACTGAAGCAGAAAAATTTGGACATGTTCTGTCAAGTTGCCTTCAGTGTGTATGTACTGCTCTGTCTTAATCATAAGGGCTACCCAAAACAAAATTCCTGTGCCTGTGCTTTTGTAACATTGCTTAACCGCTATGTTACAACCTAAAATTCCAAAACCAAGACCCATCTCGGCCAGATTTAGATATCACTACTGCAAGCTATTCATTAGATTATGTTTTAAGATTTAAGTCAATGCCAGTGTATTATACCATACCTGATTTCTGTTGTGGGCATGGATAAGGAGGGAGAGCAATATTATCAAACATTTTAAAGTAACTGGTAACATAAAGCTTGAAAAACCCTTTTATGCCATTAATGTAAATTTTAAATGATAATATACTTTGCTAAAGCAAATTCATTTTACTAAATTTAATTTTTTAAATTGTGCAAATTTCAATATGTTCAAACAGTAAACAGAGTTGGCCATTGTACTAAATCCAAAACTCTTCCATAAAGATGATTTTCATTTGGAACTCAGTTTGTGAAACACAACAGAGTGAGGTTTAGTTCTATAATCTATCTGAGATGTGTTTAATGTTTTTTGAATCTGACAGTAATGCAGAATTTGACCACCATATTAACTCATTGAGTTCAGTGATATTTGAAACATTCACAAGATTTGAATCATTTAAGTGAAAATTGCTTTATAATTGTTTTTATTTTGATGATAATTTACTACTCCAGAAAGTTCTTTGAAATACATTTGACAAAAGCAACCTTAATCACTAATCAATTCAGATATAAAATCATGTTTGCTTTTTTTCATCCAACTGAAAGAGCACCTCATTTAATTTTTTCTTGCCAATGATGTAGTATATGACATTTATATTTATGATTTCTGCATTTTATTAATATTGACAATGAAGTCAAAATGTTGACAATGAAGTCAAACTTATTTTGGATGGGTTTCACTGATAAAGGATTGATTGACTAACTTGACAAATTGAAATTTGGGTCAAACAAATGACAAGAGATATTATAATGGTACTGGTATGATCCCGTGAAACCTCAATTCTTCAAATCAATGATTTTTAAAGGGATAAACTCATCTATATATCTGATTTTCAACAAACCAATTTCAGTTCTCTGTATCACTGCAAATGGTGCGGCAAACCAATGCAATGTAGACAAATAAACAAGTTAAGGAGTTGAGGCTGCTGTTTCTCCCATTCAAGACATGAGCATTGATAAAGATCTCTTGATGTATTAGATTTTAATTCTAAATTGAGCTCTTTTAGCTGTTATTTGGTACTAAAGGTACAAATATTTACATTATTATATCCCTTTCGCTCTATCATAGATATCTGTAATTTTATTTAATTGCTGAGGAACTATATCAGATTTTCATTCTGAAGAAGGTAAAATTGATCTGTATCAATGTATTGTAGACATTCAGAAATTTGTGACACTCAGAAAATGCCCATCATCAGATGTAGTGAAATGATGTGTATGATATAAAGTAAATCAATGCAAGATGAACTAAGATCAATTTGACACAGACATCATAATAGCTGATACTTAACAAATTAATCCAGACAGATTTACTAATTAATTTACTTCCAATAAATACTTTTATGTCTTTTCTATTCTATTCCACTTCAAGAAATTATGATAGGTTAAAGAGCACATTGAATGTCATCACCTCATTATTAAAGTTACCAAGATATAGATTGTTGGTTTAAACTATAAATGTCCTTTCATTTTGAAAAAGCAAAATTTAATCAGCGTCTTCTTTTATTTTTCTTTTCAATAACTGAAGGAAACCATTTAGTATGTAGCATATAAAGCCTCTATTTATTTCATATTTGAATGACAAGAAGTCAGTCCCACCATTATGAAAAATAAATTCAAGGCACTGGGCTCATAAATAAACGATTCTGCCTTTGCCAGAATTGAACCATTGAGCTTCAGGTTCCTAAGGTTAGATGGGTAATTCACTGAGCCATGATTGTTATCTAAAATTTAAGTAATTTACTTGTCCATAGCAAATTGGACCCCATTCTATTAACTCTCTGAAACAATTGCATAATGTGTTTTTAAAACATGTTTTGTGTATTTTTTGTAAACATTGTATTATTCCAGTCTTTTCTCTTTGCACGCAGCGAAGAACATTTTTTATAGTACCATTTAATCTTTATTACTCAAATTGATGCTAAAGAAGAAAGCTTATCTGGTGTCTGTGTTAAAATTTTCATCCAAAATAATAACTATCTTTTAAGAAAGGCATCAATTCAGCTCAGATCTAGAAATCCACATAAGCAGGAGTAAGCACTTAATTTATATTCATATCGGATGAAATTTTTGTTTTTATAGTGGTTACCTGGTTATTTTGACACATTTTAATGACTGAATGGCCAATCATAGAAAAAACCTTAACTTAATCCGAAAAGCATGCAAACTCTAGCTATTATTGTATTGACAAGCAAATTTGGACAATAACTACAAAAATGTCTATTGAAATATTGATTACAAACTCATCTGAGATATTTACAAATAACATAACCTATACTATTCCTGATTTAGAGACTAATATAGTATCCCTTATACACTTAAGTCAAGTTGTAACGAACTTCGTCTTATACCTTCACTGCAATAGCCACCTTTCATGTAACACAGAGTAAATGCAGTGATTTGGTTGGATTGTGCATTAGCGAATACAGCCAATCAGAGTCTTCGATAGAAAGTCTATAAACAAAAAGCCCTAATGTTTGACAGTATTTATTTGCTGGTGTAGAATTCAATCTAATAGCTACATTACATGATACAAGAAATACAATGAAGATCGTAATAGCTTGACATTGTGAGGTTGCTCTTAAGAAAGCTGGAAAACCTATGATTTTGTGACCATGTAAACAACATTAATAAAAATATTCCCATTATTGAATTACTCTTTTATAACTTTGAAACATGTTGGCACATGGTACCAAATACATCAAAATTTAGTGTAATGCCCATGTAAGTGCATAAGCTATGATACTTTCTTGACATTTTGCAGTGATAAAACGTACTAATCAGTTTTGACTTGCCAGAAATTGAATTTACTCTGCACCTTTATATGAGAATATATAATAAGAAATATAAGCATGATAGAGCTTTAGTATTTTTGATCAATATCTAGATTATCAAAAACTTATAAGACATTCTTTTTACATGTAGTTCTCTTGGGCAACCTGACCTTCCAATATGACATCATCAACATGACTGTACATGATGTCTGGCAGCAGAACGTGCTTGTGAAGTCCATGGAAGCATTGAATTATGTTGACCAGTTTCAGTGGTTTCTTATCAACTATCTAATCTATCAGTTAGATTGGTCTCCATTGGAGTATCATACTAAAATAAAAGATTTTTTTTTGCTTTCTGATACTGATTGTAGTAAGATGACATGATTTTTGTGGTGTACCCAAGTTGTAAGGATTTCTATTTAGATGATGTAAACATGTTTATAGAAACTTAATTATAGAACAAATACATAAAAATAAATACATAACTTGTTTGGACACAGATTTTTATTTGATGTTTGTTGTGCCATGATATTTTTAGTCTATTGAATAGTTTTTTTTACATGGGCATCAAAGGATCAATTTTGGGTTGTACTCTGGATAATTTTGATTCACCTTTTTTTTCAATTTAAATGTCTTGTGAACTGACTTTGAACTATTGTAGATGTAGACTTAAATTGCTGCTCATACATTATTTTCCAAAAGTAATGAATAGTGATTATTTTTTTTTTTTTTTTTTGTGTGAAAAAACATTTTGATATTCTGTGTCAAAACTACCTACTTTTGACTTTAGGAAATAAGACATCTCCAATCCAGGAAATAGTGTGGGTCCTCTCACTTTGTCTGTCACATGGATCTTCATTCTGTGCCTGAGGATGGGGGGGGGGGGGGGGGGTAACATTTTATTTCATTTTATACGAACTCTATTTCTTCGTATATAGATACAAAGCTGAATGTGTTAATATTGATGAAAATAGTTATTGATGATTTGAGATAGAAAAAAACTAGATGTTTGTGACACAGATTATAATGATAGTGGGTTATTTTAGGTCATTAGTCTAGACTAGTATTAATCATTGAAATGAGACTATTGTTTGAAGTGTTATTAACAGACAGGAAACATTGATTATTATATTATCATGTTTGTATGTCTATAGTCTGTCTATATCAGCATCCAGTCTACCACAGTGGTATTCATTCTACTTATAGTCGTAATAGACTCTGTCCACATGTCCTATTAAAGTTATTATACAGACATTAATTAGTAGTCTGTAGGGGTCAGACTAGACTGACAATTATACACTATTCACTGTACACTCAACCATACCATATTGACCTTTATAGTAAGTCATTTATTCAGTGTGCGCCATATTGAACAGCTAATTTGTTTTCAATTCATAAAATTTTCTTATGATGTGATGTGAAGTGAAATTGTTATCGGTCCTATTGAACCAAATGAAATTATTGTCTATAGAAGAATAGAATTACTATACAATGTCAATAATATTGTTAAATATAGAACTCTTTCCAAACAATCCCTTTTATTTCATTTATAGTCTCGGAATCAATTTCAACAATACAGACAAAATTTGTCCTAAAATATCTTTTAGAATATAAAATAAATTTGATTGAACAAATTTAACTTCAAACTAAATTTCCTTGTGTTCATGAAGTGTGAATACTTTAAAGTGATAATCTAACTCACAACTAACTGAACTATTTTAATCCAAAAATGTTTGCAAAAATTTTGGCATCATTCACTAATTCCTTTAAAAAATGTGGTATGAAAAAGTATTTAAGGAAGACTTAAATGTGACTTGAAATTTTACTATAATATCTGTCTGATCAATAATCATTTCGAATTATACTTTTTCTTATTAAAGGATTACATCATTTTAATTCTGTATATTTTTCTGTCTACTTTCAGTGCAGAAACTACTGCAAACAGAAACAACATTATCCAAGGTAATAATCTTTTTCATTAGAAACAATCCATTTCAAGTCAAAAAACTGATATTATTTGATACAAAAATTACTGCCCCTAAAACTGAAAAATAAGGATTTTATTTTTATCATTAAACCCCATTGCAATTCAGCATTATCCATGTTCTTGAAAAAGGTGCAGTTTGATATTGAGCTGTAAAATTGACTGTGAGCATATGTTATCCTGCCTAGCAAGCTGTCAATAATTTCTAGAACAGCGATTTAACACACTTAATTTAATATCAGACTTTATGCACTCATGTGTTGAATCATAAATTTGAAATCATCAGTTCTAAGTTGTGATAATTATTGGACGGTGTATGATATATAGCCACGCACTGAAATCTAGACAGCTGGATCCTGAGTATTAAACATAATACATCAAGTCTTCAGCATTTCATTCACCAGAATGATTGTTTACATCAATAATCAATGTTATTGGTTGGGGTGACCCTGGCTTTAGTTAGAAATATCTTTGACATTTACATTGTATTTTTATTATAGGTCAGTCCGACACAGACCTATCTAATTTTGGATTGGAACAAGCTCAGTTAGTGGCTAATAGATTGAGAAATGAAAGATTTACTCATGTATATACTAGTGACTTAACTCGGGCTGCCGGTACCGCTCAGACTATAGTTGATACTAATAAAGTATGTAAATGTCCTCTAATTAAAGATAAAAGACTAAGAGAGAGGGTAAGTACTCATATTAATGTAAGCATGCAACTTTACAAAGATAAAATCAAGAATAAGTACTCTGTTAATAATTTACCCTATTTTAAAGGGATACAAACCAAGAATAAATGTTGAAAGTTCAAGTCAAAGCTTAAGTCTGTTGAGTTACTAATTGTCCACCAAGTACATTGTCAGTTTAAAAACTTTGCCTCTTTATGAGAAATATTCAGTACATCCTGGTTTCAAACCTGCCCTGGAATGCCTAACGGACATTCTGTAATAGAACAGCACAATATATACTTATCATTGTAAAATGATGCATGTCTGTAATTTTATTTTATTTCATTATAGAAATTTGGTGTTGTAGAAGGTAAAACATATAGAGAATTTGCTCTAGAAGCTAGAAAAGAAAATATTGCTTTACCTGCTTTTACACCTCGTGGTGGAGAGAAAGTCGAACAGGTAGGTTTTTCAATTTTCTTTATATATATATATTAGACATTGGAGTTATGGGTGAAAATATTTTGATACTTGGGCTGATTTAGGCAAATGTAGTTGCAAAAAACCTATAGGTCAGTTTATTATCAAGAATTATTGCTACTGACAATAATGGAAAAAACAAAAGTGATGTTATAATACATATACATAAACCTGTAGATTTGCTATCATTGGCATAAAGGATTATATTGTTGAGTTGGTGTCACTATTAATTAAATGGTATTTTGCAACACAACCAAAACCAATATAACTTTATCTTGTCTTTCGATTCAAAATGGAATTTATTGACATGACAAACAAAATCTTATAATAATAATAATTTAACCTGTTCTCATTTCATCTTTTAGTATATGGTTTTATTATTATATATATTTTTCAGCTAAGAGAACGTGCCAAATTATTCTTCCAAGATCTTTGTGATCAGTTATTATCAAGTAATGGTAATAATTTAGAGACCTCAACTCAGTTTACAAAACGTCATATTGATAGTGAACATAATCATACAGGCAGCATGAAATCAGTGAAAAACACCCTCCATAATAATGATGATGATGATGAGAAATTAAGTAATCAAGCTAAACGTCCTCGTCATAATGATATGGATGATGACAGCGATAATGAACTTTACGCACAAGAAGTCTTCATTAAAGATGAACCTATTACTAATGGTCGAGGTTCAGTTATTAATGGTAATAGTGAACACCATCACGAATATGCTACTGTTCGTGATGTATTTAATAAAGACCCTCCAGTTACTGATGGTGAGATTAAAATGAGCATAACATGTCCAAAATATACATCTACTGGTTGTCCGAATGTATCCTTATCACCATTATTAGAGAAACGTTTCTCCAGTATATCAAGTGCCAGTTCTGGTCGTAATAATAGTTTTGATGAGTCTGATAATCAACAGTGTATTGCTGATATACTGATAGTTAGTCATGGTGGCTTTCTCAAAGAATTTATACGTCATTTTATTGAGGACTTACACTGTAAAATTCCTGGTGGTAAGTGTTATGCCTTGCGTGTTGGTCCTAATACCAGCATGTCCAAATTTACTGTTAGTTTTGAAAATGGGTGTGATAAACCAGTTGTTACTTGTTTATTAATTCATGATAAAGATCATCTGCGTAATTTAGACATTCAAGCTCCAGATCTTGGTATATAGATCATTTTCTCATGGCATTTTATATATTATTACTTCATATTTGAATTATCATTAGATCTTTATTAATATGTGCTCTTTAAGACTCTGATTGAGGAAAATTGTCCTGTAGATAGCTAAGAGCAATTAGATCTGAAGTTTCTGAATTTTTGGTAAGGGAAACAGTACCTTGCACAATACCAGCAGTCTTTGTATGGATATCAACTCTGCTTTTTATGATTAAAGCATTAATTAAGTTATTTGGTATTCCTTATAGCAAAGCATAAACAACATATGGTTGTGTCTTTCTGCAATAATGTAGTTGACTGAAATGCAGAGGCAAATTAAGGTTGAGTTATTTGTGAAATAATTACTTCAGAATTAAATGATATTTGCAAGAGAGAAGTGATAGATGTGTGGTAGATGATTAGATTTAGAAGAACACAACATTATGCTATATTTTGGTAGTAGAAAGGCTTATATACAGTCATTTTGATTCACATAAATTATGAAACTTTCCTAATATATGTCAAAATTTCAACCACTGTTGAAAAAAGTCACAAATTGAACAATTCTTTACTTATTAGAAGTCCTGTGGACCCCAAAGAATTTTCCTCTTATCTTTTTGGAACTTTTGGAAAGTTTGACAGAAGCTATATTTGAAAATAGAGCACTTTGCTTGACATTTCTATTAAGACTTTATAGTGCTATTATAATGATGTGTATATCTAATGAACTGTAACTCTTTGTGCAGAACAACTAATAGCTCACTGCCATTTTTGTATTAGATAACCCACTAGGGTACTATTACATGCTTAATTTAACCCCCCTGAGCAACTTGCTTCTATCATATGAATGATTGATACACATGTACTGTATTCTCATTATTTTGAAATACACATGAATGGTTGAGTTGACCCAGGGTGATAAGTATGAAATTGTTGGTTTCCTGCATTTGATATCCTAAACTTTTCCTGATTCAGTTGTTATGTTCTCATTCATATATTTTATTCTGTTTATTTTGTACAGGCCTTTCTCTACATATTATATTATATTATATTATATGATATTATGTATATAGATAAAGTGAACATATCAATGCAATGAAAATAGTTCATTTATAGAAGAAATTAGTTTAGTATCTTTTAACTTCAATTTGTCATAGTTCAACATTTTACTTTTTCCAAACTTATCTCATTTCTATTTTTCTATTTGATTAGTATATCAAACCTTAAGATGCCTGGCAAGGTTTATTTCTTTCACAAGTAGATTTATTAAGAATTTTTTTCTGTGAAAATTGTAAAACAAGCATGACTTATATTAAGCATATAAATGTAGATGGGAAACCTAGCACATCTGTTGATTTAAGCCCATTCACTCACCAATCTTTGGACAAAAAGTCATAGGTTTTGATGCTGAAAATTTTATGGATATGAAGTACCTGCATACTTGCTTTAAACCAACTGTTGCTTTGATGCAAGTGTTACAATCACTACATTAAACAAAGTAGCTAAGCAGTCTTCCTTATTGATAAAATTCTTCTGAAATGCAAGATGAACACAACACTAGGACATGGAAGCTGCTTATTTGAAGTATGCAACTGTTATATACCTTGAATTCTGTTGGTTGACCTATAGGCTATGTCAGGACAAATGATTGGGATCACCTACACACTAGCTGACAGGAGACATCAAACTTTTTTATCAAACATGCCAGATATTCCCCTAGCACTAGTTTTAGGGCTGTTCGTGAACCATGGCACACTGTTGGAACAGATAACAAAAATTAAGTTCTATCCCTTTTAAAGAGAAAATTTAGAAGACTTAGATATCCCTTTCCTAATGATTTTGTATATGTGATGATTGAGAGAATTTGAGAGTTAATTTCTATAGTATATATTTATATTATAATCATTCATTATATATTTACTCATTTTACTTCTATATATTCTTTATAATTTTTCATAGTATTCTGTTTTCTTATTGTTGAAATACTTTCAATCATCTCAATTAGATGCCTACTGATGTTTCATTTCATTCCATATTATCTCTATTTTCTGGCTTAATATGGCTATTATCTTCATTTCACATAAGAAACTAAGCTTTAAATTTCTTTTACCATCTGTTTTATTCTACCTATGGCTATAAGAGAGAAGAAGGGAGATGAATTGATCTTTAGTATGAGGCAGAAGTATTTTTTATATCCATAAATGGAGGAATGAAGCGTCCAAGGTTGTCAGCCACATATTTTAAAAAATAATATGAATGAATGATAATAGTGTATAGGTGTAGATAAATTCATCTGTTTATTCATCATTAACAATTTATCACTGCCTTTCCGATTGTCAATAGTTTCTTTTTGTTATTGCCCTTGATTCAACCAAGATATTTCCATATTGGCTATAACTTAGATTGATTTTCTGTTAAGCCTGTTTTATATATATATATATATTTCAATATGAAATTTGATGCATACTCCCCTTTAATTCCCCTTTCTCCAAACCTCATTTTGTAGTTAATATGTATGATGACCTTAATTGAATATTTTACTATTTTCTTGACTGATAAAATGGCACAAGTTTACTTCCAACTAGATCTGCTATTTTGAAACCAAAATATTAATATGCATTGAAGTTTTCTACATGTGTAATAATTCATCTGCTAAATAAAATATTATTGCAATTTTCTGTAGTATTTGATGTTGTAAGCCAAAGGGATAAACTGTACATGCAGACAGTAGACTAACCTGGGGCATAATAAGGCTTGTCAATTGAATGAGACTAATATTCATACATACATATAGAATAATAACAATTTGTGCTGTCAACAGATTTCAGGCAATTGACTACCCACTTTTGACTTGAACATAAATGGGGTCTATTTTCCAATAAATGAAAATAGGATTGTCCAAAGATCTAAGCTATGCTTACCCTCTTTGCCTTAGAAATAAGTTGTCATTGGCGATGAGCACCCTCTTTGTCAGTTTGATCATTGAGATTTCACTGTCAAATGCTATTTGTTCTTAAATGTAACTGGTAAAACTATGCCTCCAACTCAGCTACAAATCTGGACAAAACTCCTTGGAGGAGATTAAGTCTAGACATCGGTATTTAAAGGGCAAGAAATCAGGTTTCTTTGTTTCCACATTAATAGACATTTGCTGAGGAGAGGTGTGGGCATTTTATTGTTTCTAATATCAAGTCTGTCTTCAATAAGAGTCCTGTGCTTATGCTTTTGCATCTATATATATATTTTGTTATAGTTTATATACATATATTATATATTTTTACAACAACAAAATATGTTCACTGTTAAAATAGTTCTCAATACATCCATTGTAGAGTGATATAGGAATAGTAAAACATAACCTGGAACATTGCTACACAGAGTTTCATGCTGTGCAAGAAATCAGAATGACAACATGTTTCTTTATAAATATGTATGAAAAGCTTATCAAGTAATACTCAAATCTGATCAGAATTAAGTACAGCATGTTATGAGACAGGCCTTAACACCATCAGTTTTATCAAATGTGTAATATCCATTATAATTTCAAACTTTTGTTGGAAACATGATTCTTGTAAAATAATCATATGATAACTTCGGTCTTTGGAACATTAATAAATGCAGAAATCACACGAAAATATAATTGTTTTGTCCTGAACAAGAAAAAATTTTGTCCTCTTACATTTTTCGCCTTAAAAATATTTGAAGTAATTTTTTCTATGATATTTTTATTGATTTTTATTGTTTCAGGATTCTTTATCAAACAAATTGAATGTATTTCAATATTTTGTTTGACCAATCAATAGAATTTTTTAGCTAAGACAATCAAAACTAATGTTCACAGTTCACCTTGAAATTTGATCCTTCAAATCCATATGTGTCCAGAATTGTTAAAATAAATGTGAATGTTAAAATGACTACTTGTCAATTTAAGATACTCTGTGATATATAGAAAGGACATCTATAGAAATAGTGAGTAAAATTACGAGTTTAAAAGTATTTTTAAAGGAATTGTGAGATTATCGTTCATTTCTAGTACTTTGGAAGACTATTAACATATATTCAAGACTAATTTCAACCCCACAAAATGACACAACAGTCCCTTAAATCTTACCATAAATATGAGTAAAATTAGAAGGGAAATGTAGATAAATAAATTTTATTGAAAAAAGAAATAGACATTATGTACGTTATAGAATATAAAACATGATAATTGTATTATTAATTGTAATAACAAGGACAAAGCTTTGGCTAAGTTGTGGCTAATGATGGACATTTAGTAAAATAAACCTCATATTATCATTAACTTATTATCATAACATTATGTCATTGACTTGGGTTAGAATTCCACAACAAAAATAACAAAATTCTTGACAGTTTGCTTATAGAAAACAATAGGAGAATGATTTATGATGGGAGAGGTCATGATAATACTTTATAGAAAAACAAATAAACAATTGTGGACCAATATCCTTTAATTAGGTTAAAATTTGATAAAATATTCTAATTAATTAATGGGTGTTGAAATTTCAAATAACAAACTGATAAATATTTCAGCCCCATATTAAAAAAAAAGTGAGATTACAATTATTTGAGCTATTTGTACAGGAATATTTTCTTATTTCGAAGCTTTTCTATTCAAAATTTGCTGTTAAAAACATAATTATCGATAACAGCATATTTATGACTATATGTAGAATTGATTTAAATATGTACTCCAATGGGTAAATCATGGATTCAAATGGTATGAAATAGAGCTGTGTTCTATAAATTGTGATGTAATAAATCTAATCCAGATAATGGCATTCAAGAGAGGTAGTTGTCTAGATATTGCCTTTCTGATAGATCAAGTTGAAATGCATTGGAAATCAATGAGTTATCTAATTTCTACAGAATATTTTAGGTAAATTGTATAGGAACCAAACATCAGTTTTTCAGCCTCTCTACTATTATGGTAAAGAAAAATTTTAAACATTCTGCTTTTTTTGTAGATCGAAAATTTTTTTGCTCACATTAGTGAAAACTATCAAGCAAAATCTATAGAAATGTATCCCATAACCTTATCTGAAAGTTATAACTAAAAAAAATCCAGTCGTTAATTTTTTACTGCCAAAACTCCACGTAAAAGGTTCGTTATGCTTTTTGCAAGCTGTTAGAAAACTACTGTGCTGATTTGAGTAAAATAATAGCCTGTTGTAGAGAAATATGTCTCCAACGTTTTTGAAATATTTCAACTAAATATAACGAAACGAAACTAGGTCAAACTGCTTAATCAACAAGAATTCTTTTGAGTTTTTAATTATTACTTTGGAAATATAATTTACCTTGTTTTTGATAATGAAAATGTTTTAAAAAGGCAGAATGCCCCTTTAAACAACTACCCGGTATACCTCTATGTTCAGAGAGAGAAAGAATTTTATATTAAATGGATTGTAAAGAGGTTTTCTAAAATGTTTATGTGTATAGTGGACACTGACAACATCAATTTGCACCAGGCCTGTTTATTTGGCTCATCAAGCATAGGTCTGTAAAGTTGCAAAAAAAGAAAAAAAGAATGACCAAACTTCATACAATACATAACAAGGTCCAGTGAATAAGACACGAAATACTTTCTTAATAAAGGGAATATCAGTTAGTGGTGGATCAATAACCAATAATTTATCGGCTGCCAGGAAACGTCTCCAGTTCAAAGAGATCGGAAAAGCTTCAGTCAGACATCTGTGGTTCATGCAATTCCACTTTAACTATCACGCAGGTCCTTACATATCAATAGCAGCTTTTGCACTAGTGATGTCATAAAATCGCAAGAGCCAAAGAAGTCTGAATGAAAATTGGAACTGTGCAAATCGATGTTATCAGTGTCCCTATATACAACCTCTTTGATCCCTTTAAGATATCCTATTATACATGTGCTTTATTTTCATGAATGTAAATCAATATAAAATAAAGAGAAATGTTTAATGAAAAGAGTTTAATTTACAAAATAGCTTATAAATAATAGAACAATATAATATCTTACAAATTATCATTATAAAATAAAGATATGTAGAAATAGCTAAAAATAAGTGAAATATACAACATGCTAGCATAGCAAAAAGCCCACTTACATGTATACAATATTTGTCATATATCCTTTGTTGGTGTACACAGTATATCAAGATGCATGAATTATTACATTATCCCTCTCATTTTGTTTACATAAATTCCCACCAAAATGGAGAATCCCTATGACCTTTTTAAACCTTGATCTCCCATTGGTTAGAGATAAATAGTTACATACAGCTTGCTGTAGAAAATAAAACATGTTCTATCCCAAACTGTGAAATATACAACTCCTGAAAGGCGTAATTAATACAGTGTAATAGCACCATTTACTACGCAAATTTGGATTTATAAAGTATGGTGTATATAACTTTCTTTACCGTGTAAATTGGCCTATAGTCAATCAATATATCCACTCACTTCATTATTCCAGTCTTTGTTTATAAATTATTTATTCTTATTGTTATACAATAACACATAATGGCTCAACTTAAAAATTCACTTTGAAATTGCAATTGTATTGTGACCTTCATGAATATCAAAGAAACTCAATTCCTTTTCAAGTCTGACTTTTGACTGGAGATATATAAAGACTTCCTATAAGTGGTCTGTAACGCATTTTCAATGGTTTCAACATATCAAAATTATTTGAAAATTCAGTATGTTATGTTAATGTTTTTTATAGGGTAGACAATGAAAAAATATTTGAAGATGACAGTCTCTTTACAATAGAATAATATTTCATGGTTACAATTAGATATTGAAATATATGAGAAATATAAAAAAATAAATTTAAGAACATTATTGTCTATGACTATCCATGTAACCACATTTGTTCCATGAACTTCAAAATCATGTCCCTTTGCAATAATTTATTTATTCTTATAACAAATTCAATGTAAATAAATATATCTAAGCAAGTACATGGAAAAATCAAAGCTAGAAAAAGCTTAACTGTAGCAAATTAAGCTCATAATTTAAATGAAATAATAAATGTAAAGGTCTAAACTTCATACAAAAATTCACTTGCCTTATTTAAAATATGAATTCCAATTTGTCAGTTTGCGTCAATATTACTATTGCTATATACAAGTACAATTTGTACATAAATAATAATAAACTTACTTAGATATATTAAGGATATCATAATGATAATGAAATGATATCGATTCAATAAGATTACTTAATAGTCAAGCACTTCTGGTAATGTTTGAATTTGGAAGAATGTTTAAAATCTGTTTCTGAGTTGTTTAACTTTGTAATTCAACATAATTAGCTGGGAATAATCCATTTTTACCTCGACAATTTCCACGCCACCATCCTTCATCAACCTACAATATATACATCATACTTCTTAGAAACCATATCACACTATTTTAAATTTACCAACAACAAATCTGAATTTAGTATTCTTGTTCCAATCACCTAAAATATGATTTCAATGAAGAAACACAACACAATCAATGAATTAATATTACCTGAATACCTTTACCAAATGTCGTAAACTGATTACAAAAGATTTTTGCACAAATCCAATAGACAAACACGACCACAGTTTACTGTTTGCTCAAGATTCTGATATTGTAGAAGCTTATTGTAATTTGTTGCTGTCACACCTTTTGCATCAAAAGATCACAAATGACCTGCTGATGAAGATAATCATGATGAATTTTGACACCATGTATGTTCACATTAGTGTACTTGCAGTCAATTGCATTACTTAGATGTTTCGTCTTTTGATTTTGGTCCTGATTTGTCAACGTTGTCCAAATAAATATATATGATAAAAACAGTATATGATAGTATCATAATGTGAATTGTTATTATGACAATATAAGAAATAACATTCAATCATGCTAAAATGAATGTGTCTATTTTTCAACTTGTACCAATGAACAGATACAGTGGAAATCAAATAGCCAATATTTACCATTTCTATATCTGTTATAATGTCTTCAGGATCAAATGTTAATTCATCTTCTTCAGCTGTAAAATACAATACAACATTCTTAGTTAGCTGATCAACAATAAGTATCATATCCAATGTTTCTTGATAATGTTATGCCAGTAATGTTAATCAAAGTTGATATGTTGAGATTTAGCCCAAAAATGAAGCAAGTTTTTAAACCATTACCAAATTTTAGCATATTTTTTGGTATCTATACAAAGCTGAAGCATTTTTAGTCTATCAAGACATTACTGGATATTGTACAAGGTCCCTGTGCTCCACACAGCTTTGTACCAAAAGTTATGCCAAGTTTTATAATGGTGAAAATTCTCAAAAATAGCCATTCAGGGCAACTTCCATGAAACACAACATGATAATCTGGCCCTAAACGTACTGATATCCCATCCGTTTATCATGTCTGAGGAACAGCTAGGGCCAGAATGTTTGACTCCTTTATTCCCAGTATTCTATGGTATGAAAGTTTGAACACTAGAACAACTTACTGGCTTCATAATCATACAAAGCTACAGCAGTTAGACCTCCTGTTTTATTGTCTGGTACTGGATCACTAGCTTCATTATATACTGATTCCTCTTCTTCTTTGTGTTTCACTTCATCAGATATAACATAATGATCTTCTGGTTCATATTCTTCTTGTGCTGGTGGTGAAACAGGAGGATTTGATGCAGGCGGGGAAGATGGAGTGTCGTCTGCAAAGTTATAATGATCTTCTGGTTCATATTCTTCTGCAGTATTAGTATTATTGGTATCATCATAAACATCATCTTCTTCTTTCTGTTCTTCACTCCATCTTTCTTTATTTCTTCTTTCCTGGAATATAGAGGAATTAATCTATTTGGGTTTACTTAACCAAGGGTATCTTTGATCAACTCAATTGCAAATAATTCATGAAATTCCACTGAAATATTGACCCCTTTCAACATGTTTTTCCAGATATTTTTTTTTTTTATCATAATACTAGGGGCATAACTCTGTTTTAATGGAGATATTTAAGAAACTTACCTCTTCTTGTTTTTGTGACTGTTCTTGTTCTCGTTTTTCTCTAGCTTGTCTTCTTGCTCTTTCTTCTTCTGCTCGTTTTTTATTTTCTTCATCAGATGCTTTTGCTAAATTTTCAAATCTTGCTTTTAGATTACCAGCCCCTTCTGAGCCTACAAAAAGAGAATATTTATAGTAGTCTAGCTCTAGCAGAGTAAACTTTATGGTGCAAAAACAATAAACAATTCAAAAACAAAGTCGAATTGTTAACTGAATATTAACTGAAATATTACAGTAATACTTACTGCCAGTAGCTTTTGTTCGTTGAAAGTTCTTAGATACTCCCTCATTATCTTCATAACCTACAGCAGTCTGTAAAAAAATAACAATATGAATGAAAAAGTTATTTGCATCTGTTCTATTGGGCTCTCAGATATAAGCTTCATTATGTACTGTGAATAAATGATAATTTTCAACTTTTCAGACCTCTATCAAGTATGACCTTGAAATTGGTTTCAACTAATTGCTCAGTCACTTGGTATAGAAAAATCTGTTTGATATACATAATTCAAGCAGTGTAGCATTTTGCATTCTGATATCTAATGTCTGACTTCATTATTATTAGATAAAAAGAAATAAAATAAAAAAAATTTGAAGTTACCTTGTCCATATTTTCTTTTTCTACACCAAATTTACCTCCAAAACCTTTTTTCATATCAGTTTGAGATGGATGTAACTCTGTTTTTCCCATACTTTCAAATTTCTGGGCTGCTTTATCTGTTGATTCCTGAACACCAAACTTTCCACCAAAACCTTTCTTCATATCAGTTTGTGAAGGATGAAGCTCTGTTTTATTCATTCCACCATCATAACCCACAGCCGATTTATCCATATGATCATCTTCAACCCCGTATTTCCCTCCAAAACCTTTACTCATATCTTTCTGTGAGGGATGTAATTCTGTTTTATTAACTCCTCCACCATAGCCACTAGCTGATTTATCTTGTCTATCTTTCTGTACACCAAATTTACCTCCAAAACCAACTGAATGATCTAGAAAGAAACACAAAGGGATTAAAACACTTTGTAGTGGTCATTTAACTTATAAGAAAAATTAACACATGATTGAACATTTGTTGATGAATTGTATTGATTAATTTTAAAAGAATTGGAAAATTTGATTTGTATATTCATGTGCAAAATATCTTCCATTTTAAACAATATCATGTAATTGAGGTAACAAAAAATCAAGGAAATGTGCATCATTTCAAATCTGAGGCATATCTAAATTCATTTAAATGGTAGATTCTCCTTTATTTATAAAATTTCCATTGTTCGAAGTTTTTGAAATTTGGATATCATATTAAATTGTTACCTTTCTGTGAAGCATGTTTTTCAACTTTTTCATGATGTTCATAACCAACAGCTGATTTATCTTGTCTATCACTTTGTACACCATATTTACCACCAAATCCCTGTGAATAATCTGAAATAATTGTTTTGAAAAGTTAAATTAAATAAAAAAAAAACCTGCTCAGTAAACTATATTCAAAAATGCTTTTAAAACTACCTTAAGGGAACTTAAAGGTAGTCTGAGAAATACTCTTTTCCAAATCAATTTCAAATGTGTGTACAAGATATTATTTTACTTGGTCACAATATAAGTCAGTCTATTCTCTGTGTAATGTTTACTTGTGTTATTAATACCAAAAACACTTTGTTTCAGCTGGAAAAAAAAGATTAAAAATAAAACTGAAAATTTCATAACCATGAGGGACTTGGACATAGAGTATATATATATACGTATAAATATGCATTAGAATACATCCTAAAATTATGAAGGCACGCATATATGTATCAACTGTCAAGAAAAGTACTCTTTTGTATTTCAACCTTTTTGTGATTCGTGTTTGCTTTTTTCTGTCTTATGGTCCCAACCAACAGCAGCTTTATCTAATCTATCTTTCTGTACACCAAATTTACCACCAAAACCTTTTGAGTGATCTGTAATTAATAATTGTTAGTAAAAAAATGCTGAATAACTGTTGCTGAATAAACCTCCATCTTTCATTTCACTAAATTATAATTCATCAGATGTTGGTTAAGGGGGATAATTTAAATATTGTACAAATCACACTCCAGTCAACACAAATCAAACAATTGCAAACATGATGCAGATTACAACAATTACCAAAAATTTACAAAGCTAAAAAATCCAATTATGATTTTACTTTTCGCTTTAAAGCAAGTAGTATTATCTATTGCATACATACATACATACTGTTAGAAGCATGGCACACAATTCTAGCATAACAAAGTTATTCAAAGAAACAAAACAATATACCTGTTTGTGAAGCATGTTTTTCTGTTTTACCAGTATAAGTATAATCTGCTGCAGACTAGAATATTAAAAAAAAAGACATGGAATAAATTGAAGATCTTTGACGACCGCCTTCCATAGAATTAAATTAAAATATATTGTGAAGATTTTCAAGATACTAATTTTACCCTAATACATGTGGATGTTGCTTATTCCTAATAAATCTTAAATGAATAAAGTTGTCTTAGAAATCCACAATGCTTTTTCTGTGTTTAAATCTCACATCTCCTTCGATTCAATTCAACATTAACTACGGTAGCTTAGACTATTGTTCACTCTCAAGAAATATTTTACACTCAGACATGCAGGTATTTCCAATAACACATAAATGACGAAAATGGTTACTTTGACATTCCCTTTCAACCTTTTCTATCATTTTGGTAGTATATAAAATTTCTACCTTATCTTTTCTGTCTGACTGAACACCGTATTTCCCACCAAAACCTTTAGCAGCATCCGTCTGACTGCCATGTTTTGATAGCTTCTCCATATAATCATGACTTACAGCCGACTACAATAGATATCACAGCTTTAATTTGGTATATCTTACATTATACAAAGCTCAAATTCAAGCACTTTGTTTGACTTTCCAGGTTGTTACTTGCAGGATTTGTAAGTTGCACAAAATATAATCAAATCATTTCTGGATTGATATCAAATTCAATATTTTTTAAAAACTTCCTACAGACCAGAAAATACAAACAAGCCTGTATAGCCAACCACAACATTTTTAATATTCATCTTTTAGCATTGAATAACTGATCATAAATACTGTTAAGTTAGTAATATGAAAAGGTTTGAAAATTCACACCTTATCCATTCTATCTTTCTCAACACCAAATTGACCTCCATAACCATGTGATGCTTTAGGACCGGCATCATATTGGTTTTTCTTATACTTTTGATCATCAGCAGCTACATTTTGACGCAACTCTTTTAAACTGGAAAATACAAACATCATGGAGGATTTTGAAAAAGAAGATATCAACATTATTTCTAATGTTTGTATTTTATATTTGCTTTGTTTCTCTTTAACTATTTTGATGTAAAAGATATTTATTTATTTTACATATCAGAATAACTGAGTTTAAGAAAGTATAGTATATCAGTATATTCTTCCTGATGGATAAACAGCAAATTATTACAAAACCCCACTTTAAAGCAGATATTTACATTCTGATGCTCTTTGTTGTATTTGTAAATGAAACAAATGTCACCGTTTGTCTATTAGAATGATGTAAGATGTAAGAGACTCACTTTAATGAAGCTTGATGACCAGATCCTTCTACTGTTTTAGCTCCCCATCTTTGTTCTTCTTCAGAGACATCATTCTACAATAGGAATAAATAGTGTGATATGTATTCTATCATGCAATAACTTGCTTCTTAAGTTTTTTCCTAAATAGGCTACTGAAAACTGGCAACACCTTTCAGTATATAAGTAAGTAAGTAAGTAAATTATTTATTACAGTGACATGTGCATGAAAACAAATATTACAGAGACGTGAATAATAATATAATTATAAGCACCCAGCCCTATGGGCTTATATGTCACTATGATGGTATAAAATGTTATTTCGTTTATGGACAGCGGTGAGACACAAGTTCTATTTTGGAAATAGTGTCCTCCGTCTTTTCATGAAGGCGTGTACTAAATATTTAGATAGTTTTCTCCGAGCATTATTTGTTAATGACCACAATTGATCGTCATCTGACAACATATTGTTATCTTTGAAGAGCCCATCTATCCACTGCTTTCTATATTCTGGATAATGTGAACAGTGAAGAACGAAGTGGGTTTCATCTTCAATGGCCTGATTTTCACAAAATATACAGAGCCTATCCTCGACCTTTTCTCCAACAAATCTACCCGTGTTTCAATTTTACGTAGGTTCTAAGTTTTGGAGAATTGTGCACGTTCTGTTGCCACATTTCATTGACAAGTGAGAAGAGTCTTGATTCAGCGAGTTTTATGTCCACAGGGGTTTTGTATATAAAATGAGACACTAAGTTTAATTTTTCAAATATAGATTTTATATCCGCGCACCAGTTTCGTACCGTGTCACACAAATTGTAGTCAAAGTTAAATACTCTTTTGGTTAGACGACTTTCGTACATTTGATTAGACGATTCCAGAAGGACAACATTTTGAGCCACCGCCGTTCAGTTGGAGGAATCCATCCTACATCAGCGTTGATAGCCAGATTTAATGAGGAAAATTATCTATACAGTTGAAAGGTACAATCATCTATGCAGCAATCAAATTCCATACTTCCAGGTCAGCACCTTTTGTGCCACTGCAACATTTGTACATACTGATTTCTCAGAGATGCCAGTAAACCAAATATCACAAAATATTTTTACTTTACCAGTAATACTTAATAATAATTTCAAAATAGTTATGATAGTGTATATCCAACAATATGGACATATATTATATTAAAGTTTGTGTGAAAGGAGAAGAATGTATTGCTATATTAAATCTTAACTTGTGAATCTAAGCTTATAGATTGTCATTACCATTTTGAAACTGATATAGGGCCTGCCAAAAATATGTAATACTTTTATCACAAAGTCATTGTAAGACTAAATTAAATTAAATCTTTAAGCTATCTTACCACAAAATCAGGATCTGTTTCCCAATCATCATCATCTTGGTTATTATTGTTAGCTTGAACATTTACACCAGCTGATGCCTTCCACATCTTTTTACTTTTTCAATTCTAACCAAATAGAAAAATCATTTCATCTTGTCATGTACAGAATGATACCAAGTTTTTAACTTATTAAGTACCGGTACCACTTAAAATGTCCCCACCAAATTTTATTAGAAGTAGTCTAATCTTTAACTACATAGAATAGTAGGCTAGTCATATTATATTATCTTTAATTCTAATAATCTACATAAACATCTACCCCTTTGAAAGATTCTATCACATGAAAAGTCATGAGTAGGTCTGGCATTTCCATTATTAGTATGACGAAACCTACCAATATAGTAAATGTTCTTTATAATAAGTTGTAACTGACAGACCATACTGTGACTGCAAATAAATAGCCCTACATTGCAACTACATGAATGGCCAGTCATTTGCTGAGGTGACTCAACTTCCTCTGTAGTTTGCTTGGCAAAATGAACAAATCTGTCTGTCCAGGTCAAGTTGCTGTCATAAGTGTCAAGCCTGTTTTATGAAATAATTTACATGATGATTGATTACTCTGTGACTGTACATGTACCAATAAATTTCCAGGATATCATACAACTAAGATAAAAGTAAGAATCTACTTACTTACTTGCAATACTTTTCGTATCTTTATATTTCCCCTTTAGTTAGTTAGACAGCTTTTATCGGCACTTTTCCAACTGACACTACTTTTTCTACTTCCCCCTCCCCTTCTTGACTTCCGTCTTTAGTTTAACGATGAGTCACATGACATGCTTAAGGTGGGAGTTCGACACAAACTAAGCAAACCAACAAAATATTACATCATTCACTCAGTTTTCATTCTGATCCATAAGTTATTATTTGAATTTATTAACCTTGATTATTGTTTTTAACTCATTCATATTGTAAATATCTAATATGCAACTATATGAAAACAAGCAGGCTCGTTAAATATATTAAAGTTGAACGGATTGAGTTGTCTGGTTTGTATTTAAAAGAAACCTCGTTAATTCTTTTATCCATTGGATTGAAAAAGACGTATTGTACCGAATATGTTTAAACAGGGGAGGCTATTCACGTTTGTTTTGAATTTTGAAGAAACACGTGAAATTTGTAAAGAAAGGTATTTTTGACAATCTATTCTTAAATAATTGTAGTTGTAAATGATTTAGATTTGAAATAGGGTGCATTTGTTACCTTTGGTCTGCAATCCTTTGAGATGTAAAGCTCTCTTTCATTTTCTACACTGTACTTAGTAGAAATGGAATACATGACAACTCTACTAAAGCAAAATTAAAAAAAAAATAAATAAAAATTGGACCAAAAACGATTCGGGCGCTACTTCACGTATGTACTCTGATATGTAGATCTGTAAGCAGACAGTTACAAAAAAAAAAAATTTTTCATCTGTTTAAAGTTAACAGTTTGTCGTCTTTTTTTTTGTAGATAGCTATCAGCTAGAGGCTATATCTAACCAGTGGCAGCTATGTGGTTTCAAGTTAAGAGATAAAACACTCTGATTTGAAACAGTGTTCACTTTAGAAATGATAGCAGGCCAATCACCTACTAAAACATTCAAGAAAATGGGTCCAAGCCAAGGTTGGTAAAAGCATTTTTAATGCGGGTACCATTATTTATGAGACCAATCTTACTAGTATATTTTATTTCACCATTTGACGATTTGTACTAAGGTTTTAATTTATACTTTAAATAAGTTCAATTAAAGAACTTTTACCAATATTAGACCATACAACTATAATTCAGATACCATGTAAGTATGTCATTACTGAAATGATCCTCATAGGAAATATTTCTTTCATTAAAGTTGACTTCCGAAATAGGTGTTTCAATTACAATTATCCTCATTACAGTGTACTCTGTGATATCCAACATCTGAGTACTGTATTTAGAAAATGTTAATCCGAGATTGTACCTTTAATCAAGGATTTTTAGTGTATTTATTGTTAATTTTGTTTGTAAAAGGTAATGGTAGTGGTAATGGATCACATCAACATAAAGATAATTATCAGAAAATTCAGGCAGAACGTTTACAATTACCTATTTATCCTGCACGAAAACGTTTACTACAAGAAATTCAAAGACTAGATACAGTCATAGTAATTGGTGAAACTGGAAGTGGTAAAACTACACAAATACCACAGGTATGACCAGGACTTAAACAGATTTCCTTCGAAATCACAGATATTTATTTTTATGAATAATTTCATGTAAAATGTTTTTGTGTAGGTATGATTTCCTATTTTTCAATCTATTGCCATATATAGATGTCTTAGTTATGCTCACATTATTTAACTAATAGTAGTTTTAACTTTCCAGTTTGATCTTTTTGTTTCAGTTTCTGTTAGAATCTGGAATGCATAAAGGAAAAATGATAGCAATAACTCAGGTAGGCAGACTTAGTAATAGAAAGAGTGTGCAATTTCTTAAAGATATGATATTCCTAAAAATATTGGAGAAAGTCTATATAATGGCTTATTGTATGTATGTTGTTTCAGCCAAGAAGAGTTGCTGCTATCACAGTTGCTCAACGTGTTGCTGATGAAAAGAGATCAGTATTGGGTAGATTGGTAGGTAGTTCAATATCCATCTTTCCATAAAGTGCTATATATCTTGATGTATTCCTGCTAATAAGCCAATATATTCCATGTTGATAGAATTATTTGTATGAATTTATGTACTCCATATTTGTGTGTTAAATGCACAGTTTTAAGAAGAGTTTATGAAACTGGTGGTGCTCATTATAGACAGAAGTAGTATATTATTGTCTAAGCTATGACTATTTTTAGGTTGGCTATTGTGTAAGATTTGATGATATGACGACAGACAGTACTAAAATTAAATACATGACTGATGGTATGTTATTGAGAGAAGCAATATTAGACCCATTACTGAAAAAGTAAGTGATACATACATTACATCTTACATACATTAAGACATGTTAGTAATTTAGCTCTGATCTGTTTTTTTTTTTAAGCCAATTATTGATTTTCTTAATTTATAAATTTCAGATATTCTATCATTATATTAGATGAAGCTCATGAGAGAACTATTCATACTGATGTTTTATTTGGTGTAGTGAAAGCATGTCAGAAGAAGAGAAACAACAAAGGTTTACCTCAATTAAAGGTATTATATTTGATATTGTCATATCATACTCTATCATAGTTGATGTCTTAATGTCATTGTTTAATAAAGACAAATGTTGTCACTGATATATCACAGATAATTATAAAAGTAACAGACTACTGTTCATGCGCAGTCTGTCTGACCATTGGAATGGTCATTTACCTTGTTACATTTGAACAAATAATGTTCATGGGTTCTAATCCCAACCAGTGTGCAAGGTTATCCAGCCAACCCTTCTTTTATGGGTACAGATAATCCAGGAAAGATAAGTTTTTTAGTATAAATGGTTGGTTTTTTTTTTAAATCAATATCCTATCATTATAAAATATATATGAATTGTAGATAATAGTTATGTCTGCTACAATGGATGTAGATCATTTCTCACAGTATTTTAATAATGCTCCCGTATTATATTTAGAAGGTAGACAGTTCCCTATACAGGTAACTATAGTTTTATCACTAGAGGTGATTTTGTAATGGTTACGTTTTACATCTTACCTTGGTCAATGGCAACATAATTATTCTGTTCTCAACTGTATAACTATACTTGGTTACTACATTTTGTTATATAATGCAGGAACTGGCAATAGATTATTTATTTGATTATATATTGTAGGTACTGTATGCCTGTCAGTCACAATCTGATTATTTATTTGCATCATTGGTCACATTATTCCAGATACATAAAGAAGCACCAATGGGGTAGGTTCATAATGTGACTTGATTTCTGTCTTCAAAGTCCATTGATAAAGACTGATATCATACACAATCATATGTCTTGTAATTTCACTAGACAGGTTGTGATTTATAAGCACGAATATTCTGCTGTATTGTTACACTGAAGCTGTAGAAATGTACCATTATTTTTCCCTGAAGCAAAATAAATTCCATTTGTACTTTTAAATTTGCAAAATATGAAAATGAATAATGAACTATATTAACTTGTAATTTCAGTCATGATATATTATTATTTTTAACTGGTCAAGAAGAAATAGAAGCAGCAGTAAGATCTATCAAAGAAATAGCTAAAGATAGTGATGATTCTACACTATTAGTTTGTCCTTTATATGCAGCTTTACCTTCACAAGCTCAATTACGTGTCTTTCAACGTACACCAAAGGTACATTTATCTAAGTACAATGGCCTTGAATTTTAGGCAATCATTGACATACCAAATGAAGGCTATGATATTCTTTTATAATTTTTACTGCCTACTGATATATTAATTCTGTATTGTACAAATGTTTAGATTCAAAATTAGCATTGAAAAATCTTTTTCTCAATTGTTGGCTTGACTTGAGGGAAACCTATTTACATTTGTTATAATTGTTGATATTGTAGTTATTAGTTGTTAATTATATTTATCTTTTAGAATGCAAGGAAAATTATAGTATCTACTAATATAGCTGAGACATCTGTCACTATACATGGTATCAGATATGTTGTTGATAGCGGAATGGTCAAGGCAAAGTAAGTGTATTGAGCAAAGAAAATATGAGCAATATATCTGAAAACTATAAACTTTAATATCTAAAAGATGTGTAATGATGATTTGTTATTTGTACTCTTCAGTCTTTTTAAACAATTTTTAGAAATCAAAATTGGAATTGCAGAAGTTAACTGACTACACATATAAATTTGAAAACTTGTGTAATAATGTTAATTTAATCTAAGATTCAGTTATAAACATGTGACTTCACTCCTGATGTCATTCTGTAACTGATTTTGTAGTTCTTTTATTGAATTCAGTTTTATAGATGAAATATTATTATGATTACAGGGTATATAATCCTAACAGTGGATTAGATATATTAAAAGTTGTACGTGTATCACAGGCTCAAGCTTTACAGAGAACAGGTAGAGCTGGTCGTGAATCACCTGGTACTTGTTAT